CTAGACATGCGGGGCCCCAGCCAGCACGGCGAAGAGAAAAGGCCCTTCATCCTCCCCGCCTGCCTTTCCACCCTGGCTCACGCCCTACCTGCCTTGGGGCGGGGACAGCCACTGGCTGTCTGTTGGTCTGCGATGACCCTAAGCACGGCTGTAGGGGAGCAAAGTCTGTTCACTCTGGGAGCACCTGGTCCCTGCAGCCTGACTCCCTTCCCTTGCCTGAGTGCCCGCAAATTTCCAACAGCACAGTGACCCCCAAAGCAGGTCCTTATCGAATCATGGCCTGGGGGCATGGCCCCACCTCCAGTCCCAACAAAAAAATCATGCTGAGTAACTTCCAGAAGAAGGTTGTGTCGGGCCAGAGCGATAACACAGTAGGATGGCACTTCCCTTGCACACAGCCTACCTGGGTTTAGTCCCCAGCATCCCATAGAGTCCCCCGAGCACTGCCAGGAGTAATTCCTGAGCACAGAGCCAGGAGTGAGCCCTAGGCAACACCGGTGAGACCCAAAAGCAAAACAACATAAAATAAGGTTCGAGCATGTTCCTTGCAGGGTGCCCAGATCCTGCCTTTAGATTTGCAACCCCCATGCAGTAGCCATGGGGTCCCCAGCACACAGGCTCTTCCATAGGTACCCACATCAGGGGCACCCCAGCACGCAGAGAAGGCCTGTCCCAGTGGGCACAGGGCCCAGTGTGAGAAGAGGTGGAAGTGTATACACACACACACACACACACACACACACACCACAGATGCACGGACACACATGGACACATATGCACATGCTTGCACACACATACAGGGAATGAGTTCCAGAAGCTTCCCTGTGGTACCCACCACGAGGCACTTTAGCCCCTCCTGGACCACCCCACCTGCTGTCCCTGAGACTCTCCCCCCGCACCCGCAGGGGTGAAGGGGGGTGTTCTCAGACTCTCCACTGGGAGCCACCTGGACAGAGGTTTTCCTCTCTGTTCTGGTGAACAATCACGGTAGACAGGCTCACCTCAGCTCTGTGTGCTCGAGATGTGGACACTGAGGCCAACTGTGCACAGACGCAGACTGCAGGCAGAGGCACAAGCCTGCACACACTCACTCCCATGAGCACACGCACGCATGCAGGCACAGTCATGCACACACACTCACAGAGATCACAGATCCGAGGTGGCGTGTGCCGCCATGGTTGTGCCCTCTCCCCACCTCCTCCTACGTGCTGCTGTGGGCTGCCTCGGCCCACTCTCTGCTGCCTCTGGCCTGAGTGCAGAGTCCCTGCTGGTGGCCTCCAGAGCTCTGGGCACATGCATTCCCGACCAGGAAGTGCATGTCTCTGTGTGTGTCTGTGTGAGTTTGTGTGTGTGTGTCTGTGTCAGTGAGTGTGACACCACACTCCAAGCTTCTGTGCCAGCCAGGCAGGTTGCAGGGACCCGCTCCCATCCATCTGCACAGATGCTCCACTGCCTCGTTCTGGCTAGATCCTGCATCGTCTCAGCACGGGCTCTGGCTGAGGGCATCCTCTCCGTCTTCCCGCTGTGCTTGCCTGCTTGGCAGCAGCTGGCAGCCAGTGGGGCAGCTCAGACCCTCTCCTGTGGGCACTCACAAACGTGCATGTGCCACCCAGGGGCTCTGCGATCCTGGCCAAGGTGGAGCTGGCCAAGGTGGAGCTGCCCAGGGTAGGGCAGGAAACGCAGAGCCTGCTGGAGAGGGGAGAGCAGGTCTTGGTACTTGTCCCCACGGCACATGTGGATCGAGGGCGGGGGGTCCCCAGGCTTCGGTCACGTGGCTCTGGCTAGACGGAGTCTAGACTGTGCAAGGTCACAGCAGGGACACACGAGTCCAGGGCACTGGACTGACGAGGAGGCAGAGAAGAGCCCGGGAGCGGCCCATCCCACAGGCCTCCGGCAGTCCCAGCTTGGAGGCACACAGGGCTCCTCCTCCCGCCCTTCAGCTCATGGCTCTGCTTGGCCGACAGCCCATGGGGTCCCTACGCGTCTGGCCCTCGGATCAAGTCAGGGCTGCCACGTCAGACAGGGAGCCAATCGGGGTGGGGTGGCAGGCGGAAGGCAAGGGAGCGGCAGGGATGGGGCAGCCCCAGCCAGCAGGGGAGCACAGGCCCAGGCGCCGAGCGGGACAAGCCTCAGCTTCTAACGCAGCCCCTGGGAGCCCCTTCTTTGCCCACTGGGCCTCGGGGGACTTCTGGGGTCAGTGTGACAATCTGGACGGAGCTCCACACAACCCTGAGAGGACAAGGCTCTGGTGTCCCCAGACAAACACGCGCACACACACACACTCTCACACACACAGAGAGACACACACAGACACACAGAGAAACATACACACACAGAGAGACACAGACACACACACACACACACACACACACACACACACACACACACACACACACACCACGAGTGGCTCTGGAACACAGCCCCGGGCAGCTGGAATTCACCCAAGGCAGACAGGCTCCCTGGAGCTGGGAGCTGGGCCCCCTGGGAAAGAGGGGAGCGGGCCACCACCCCCCGGAGTCCAGCATGGGCAGGCTCCAGCCACAGCAGAGACCTGCGGGAGAAGGTGGGCTGGGGTCCACATCCCCGGGAGGACGACTTGGGTTGTGGGGTCGGAGAGAGAAGGGCTGGAGGGGAAAGCAACAGTGACCCCGCCCCACCCTGCTGGGAACCACCCGGCCCCCACACCTCCACGTGCCCCCCACGTGGGGACAGACGTCACACACACCCCACTTACACTCCGCACGTGTCCCACAAAACCCCTCATACCCCTACCCGTATGCCCACACATGGGGGAGGGGCAAGGAGCTAGGAGGAGCAGCGTGCAGGGAGGAGCAGGGGGCACGGGGGCCGAGGACAGGGGGACCGGGGCACACCCCGAGTGCCTCACCCTTTCCGCAGAAAACTCCAGAGGAAGCCATGGAGCAGCAGACCGAAGACAGGGTCAGGGGCCCGGGAGCCCCTGGAGGAAGCGGCCCCTCGCAGCATGCTGGGCAAGGCTGAGCCCCAAGGGAAGGGCCTCCGGAGGCCCCCGAGGCCTGGAAAGGAGGTTCTGGGTGGATGTTTGCTTCATCCTGTCAGGCTGGGACAGAGTCAGCCTGTCGGGGGTAGGGGCTTCCCAGGTGCCTCCCACTGACGGGAGCCCAGGTCACGCAGCCACTGGCCATGGGAAACCGTGTGCGTCCTTGCATTGCCGAAACGAGAAATTCCCTGAGTCAGTCCTGGGGTCTGTGCTACAGGCTAATGCCCCTTCAGCGGACAGGGCCCTCTGAGGTCACGATGTGTCCTCAGACGTGATGGCCCACGGAGCTCAGGGGCTCCCCATGCCCTTCAGGAGACGGCTCTGGCATTTTCCTGAGGGCTCGTAGCTTCGTTCTGCTGACACCCTCCGACAGTTTCGTCTGCTCAGGGCAGACGATGCTGAACCTCTGGTTCGCGTGTCCAGGACACTTTGGGCCTGTGGGCCACTAAGAGTCCAGTCAGCCTCGTCCCACAGACTCTCCTTCCTGAACCTCAAACGCTTCAGGGATCCCTGCTGCCTCTCTTGGGGGCCTCCCTGGAAGATGCCCAAGACCACCATGGCCCACCCGCCCCCTTCCCCTTTGACCTCCGACGCGTGAACAAGCAACCCTGACTCAGAACACTCCTGAGTGACCCTCCACTCTTACCCCTCTCCAGGCTGCCTGCCTTCCTCTTCCCCAGAGGCTTTCTTTGAGGACTGAAGGGGCCTTGTGGGGTCTTGTCTCAGGTCGCCCAGCTCGGGGAAGGAGGACAGAGTTGCTGAGGAGAACATGAAACGTTTGCTTCCCACCCGAAGAAGAAGTACTCACTCCCCCACAACCCCGGCTTCACAAAAAGGAAGAGGGGCACAAGTTCAGTTTAAGGCTGTTCCCCGAAGCACAGGGAAATTGAGGCTCAGAGGATGTGTCGGAAATCATTTACAAGTCCTCATGTGCATGGGAGGACTCCTCCAGGGGCAGGCATCCATCATGGGCAGGCGTCCATCACGGGCAGGCGTCCATCAGGAGCTGTCCATCAGGGGCTCGTGTCCATCAGAGGCAGTCGTCTGTCAGGGGCAAGCATCCATCAGGAGCAGGTGGCTATCAGGGGCAGGCGTCCACCAGGGGCAGGTGTCCATCACGGACAGGCGGCCATCAGCGGCAGGCGTCCACTGGGGGCAGGCGTCCATCAGGAGCTGGCATTCATCACAGGCAGACATCCATCAGGGGCAGGCGTCCACCAGGGGCAGGTGTCCATCACGGGCAGACGTCCATTAGGGGCAGGCGTCCACCGGGGGCAGGCATCCACTGGGGGCAGTCATCCACCAGGGGCAGGCATCTATCTAACTGGTATCTGTTAGCTGGCCATACTAAGGTCCACGGCTGTGGGTCATGCTAGCAGGAAGGGAACACAGTCAGCAAAGACCAGAGCAGAGCTGAGTTGGTCCTTCCCAGACCTGCATCCTGCAGAGTGGAGATGGGGGCCCTTAGCCGTGCTCAATCCATCTGTGCCCGTATCTGTGGGACGGGTGCCCTCTCTGCACAAGAGCCAGAGACCCCCCGGCCCTGCCCTCCCAGGTTCCTGCTCGGGCTGCTCCAGCCACCGCACCAAGAAACAGGGGTGGGGCGGGGGCTGGGGGCCTGCTCCCGTGCTCTCCCCCCGACAGCCCAGGGCACCTGCAGGGCCTGGCCAGGCACCAGGTGTGGAAGAGCCGGGCTCCCAGCGGCCCCTCCCTCCCCGCTTGGGCAGGCCAGGGTTGGTGTCCAAGGGAGGCGGGCTGCCGGTGCAGATAAAAGCCGCTCGGCCTGCCGCCTGGCAGCTGCAGACACTCAGAGGAGGAGGCCACGCAGAGACCGCGGCCTGGCACTGGCCTGTGCCCCGCTCACTGTGTAGTGACCGAGGTGAGTCCCAGGAGACGCAGGGCCCCTGGGAGGGGGTGCTGGCGAGTGCGGGCCTCGGTGCTCACAGCAGCTGCCCACAGGTGCCGCCCACACACCCCTGCAATGGAAACTGTGCGGGAGCTGACCCCACGGGGCCAGCAGGTGGGGGCCCAGAGGCGCAGTCACCCGCTGCTGAAGCTGTACCTGCTGGGCAGTGTGCTGGCCCTGGTTGGAGCTGTGCTGGCCCTGGTGGACACCGTGTGCAGCCCCTTCTCTGCCGCCAGCCGCCGGCACGCGCGGGAAGCTGCCCTGTGCGAGCTGGGGGCCGCCCGCCAGCCCCCTGGCCCACAGGTGCTCGCCAAGAGCCAGCCGGACAGCAGCCAGGGCAGCAGGACCCTGACACCCCGGCAGCACGCGTCCTAGGGCAGCACAAGGGCCTGGCGGCCAGGACACAGCAGGCGGCAGCTTGGTGCCAATCACAGACCAGGAGAAGCCCAGGCTTCGAACTTGCCTGGGACCCAGCCAGGGGCAGGACCAGCAGCCTCCGTCCCCCACCGTCCCGTCACGCAGCGCATGGCCAGGAGCACAGTCGAGAACCACCAAAACCACCCGGGCAGAAGAGCAGGAGACGTGCGCTTGATACTCTTGCTATTCTTACGGTCACCAGCTTGTTGCACTGTGAAATAAAGACGTTTTCTACTCCCCTGCCCTTGGAGTTCTGCAAGGCCCGGTTACCTCAGGGGGTGGAGGGACGCCGATCCCTTGGGGTCCTGCAGGTGTTGGGTGGCATCTCTGTGAAGGGAAGAGCTCCGGCTGGGACCTGGCCGGGCTCCTGCAGGAAGGACCCCGGGGTGGAGGGAGCCCGGGAGGAGGAAGAGGGAGAGGTCAGAGGAGGAGGAAGAGGGAAGGGCATGGGGAGGGGTGAGGAGGAAAGAGGGGAGGGATGGGGGAGGGGAGGGGGAGGGTTTCTGACCAACAGCCTCCGAAGCCTCTCAGGGCTGGGCTTCTCCGAGAACCAGCTCAGCAGCTCTGCCTGCCCAGGGGGACCCGTCACTCGGGTCAGCTTCTGGAGGAGATTCCCAGCGTGCTGGGGGGCCACAGTGACAGGGGTCGCACAGGCCCCGTACGTCACGCCCTCCCGTGACCAACCCACGTGGGGATGCAGCCGTGACCTCCGCGTGGGCCTGTCCTGTCCCTGCAGGTTCCTCCTCGGTTCTGGCCGTTTCGCGAGGCTGGTGTGTCCCTGACCCCCCGGCCCCCGGCCCCTCCTTTCACTCCATTCCTGTCCCCTGTCTGGTCACCTCTGGAGACCTGGGGCAGGGGCGGGGAAGGAGGAGGCCCTAGGCTCAGAGCCATGCCTGCTGGGCAGGCCCCGACCTTCCGTGCCCCAGCCCAGCCCACACCTCAGCAGAGGCGCCTCCTCTGCCAGCAGCGGAAGCCACCACCTCCCCAGCGACACGGGAGCCGCACTCACCACGGGGGCGGGGGGCCCCCAGATCTCACCGTCTCCTGCTGCCCCTGCCACTCTATCCAGCACACCACCTGATCCTAGGAGCCTTGCCCCAGAGACCCCAGACTCCCCCGGTGCAGGGCCCTCGGTGCCCAACTGGTGCTGAGCAGTGCCCGGTTGGCTCCCTGTGTCGGCACTGAAACCCACCCACCCCCTCCCCCGCCTCCTGCTTTAGGTCTGAGCGTGCGCACAGTGCTATGTTGTGCCTGCGGACGCCCCTGCTGCCAGCCCGTCCCATTCGCCCCACAGGCAGGCTGCCCGGCCCCACGGTCCAGCCCGGAGACACCCCACAGTCCAGCCCAGAGATACCCCACGGTCCAGCCTGGAAACACCCCACGGTCCAGCCCAGAGACGCCCCACGGGCAGGCTGCCCGGCCCCACATAGCCTAGAGACACCCCACGGTCCAGCCTGGAGACACCCACTGGAGCCTTCTCAATCCAGAGCATCTGCAAGGTACTGCACTGGCCTCATCCACGGTATCTCAGGAGAGACCTTTGCTCCAGCTCCTGGGGGTGGAAATGACTCCCCAGTCGTGACTGACATTCCAGAGGTGGAGCCTGCCAGCGGCTCCTAGGGACACCACCACAGCAGGGAGAAGCTCCCCCTGGGCCCCACAGGCCGGGACGGTTGCAGTACAGCAGGGACCCAGGGCCATGGAGGTGTCTGATGGGGAGAAGCCAGGGCTGCTGTTGGTGCCGGGTGCCACACACACACACACACACACACACACACACACACACACACACACAGGAACCCACGCATGTGTGCTTTCTCCAGTCTCAATGTCCTTGGTGCCCAAAAGTGGTGGAAGGGCTGGGCACAAGGCACCCAATTCCCCACAGACAGCCAGGTCCCGAGTGGGCGAGAGCCGCAGGCATGCCCCGGTGAGCCTCGAGGCGACACTGTTGGCTTCTGCGTCTGTGCACGGGGATACCCATCCAGCTCGGTGCCGACCTTTCATCTGGAGAAAGTGGGAGCGCGAGGGAAAACACAGATCTCGGGGAGGGGGGCTGGGAGGGGGTAGGTGGCCTAGAAAAAAGAATAAAATCCAAAATAAAATCGGTTCCAGGTGCCTCCCCTTACAGGGACAATGGACAAAATCGGAGTCCTGCAGAGCTGGGCCTGGGCGACCTGGGACCTGCCCGACAGGACACAGAGGTCTTTTCTGCCCCTCTGGGATGTCTCTGAATCGGGGCCTCACTGGAAAGCGCTGGCCCGGAGAAGGAGCCCTGCTGGCTGCCGACTTGGGGAGGCCTCCATGCTTAGATGAGGTGGAAAGCCATCGAAGCCGCATTCTTAGGGAAAAAGCAACTCCGTCTGGAAAGAAAAGCATGGGAGGAAGACCCTCAGAACTGGGACCATGGAGGGGAGGCAGGAAGCCAGCCCCAGCCCGCACGGGTCCGTGGGTCCACCCGGGCGCAGAAACGCCTCTGGGCACAGGCCGCCCACAGCCCTGAGCCCTGAGCCACCAACAGCATGTGGGCTGGGTGCCGTCCTCGGCATCTGAGCCTGCCGCCCTGCCAGCCCCCCTCAGCCCCCCGCCGCGCAGGCCTGAGGGTCTGCAGCTCCTCCTGCCCGCCAGAGCTGCCCTCAGACCAGCCCTTTGCACATGCGCACCCCTCTGAGACAAGCTCTGCAGGAGGGCCGGGGCTGGGCTCTGGGTGGGGAGAGGAACGCCCACTCCTGCTCCAGCCCTGCGTGGCCTGGGACTGAGGGGCTGGCGGAAAGGGTTCTGCTCAGCAGGGGGCAGCCCTTCCCCTGGGGCCGCCGGGTCCAACAGCCCCAGCGAGGGCAGAGACTGCAGGGCAACACGCCCAAGCATTCCAGCCCTGGGCGCCGGGCCCTGGCCTTCGAAGTGGGGCTGGGGCAGGAGTGGGGTGTCCCCCCCAGCACCTCCTGGCCACCAGCCCAGAGCCTCTTCCCGACCGAGGGCTTCTGGAGTCAGGTACCACGCAGCTGGTTCCAGCCTGGAGTCAGGTCTCCCAACTCCTCCCAGAAACCGACGGAGTTTGGAGCAGGAAGTCCTGCTCCTCCCGGTGAGTGGGAACCAGGGAGGAGGCGCCCGCGCAGGAGAGTCAGCGGCGGGCGTGCAAGTTGGCCGAGGCGCCCCCAGGACCCTCAGGTAAGACCTGGCGGAGCCTGCAGGGCTCCCAAGCCCAGGAGGAAGGCATGGGGGGCTGCATGGGAGGGCTGGCACCCCAGCAGAGAAAGTGGCACCGCCAAGGGCTTCGGAGCCCGTGGGAGGGAAGAGAAGACGACGGGCCTGCAGGCGTGGCTGCGCTGGACACCTCAGGACTCTTGGGGGACACCCTGCCAAGCAGGAACCCAGAGTGGCACCAGAAAGTGGGATATGGAAGACCGGCCTGTTCTCCTGGCTTCAAACAGGATTGGGGCCATCGGAGTTTCCGGAAAAGCTGGAGATCGAGGTGCGGCCACCACCAGAGGGACAGACAGGGACTGCCTGGCCTGCGAGCCCTGGGGAAGGCTCGCCTGGTTCCCCCACATAGACTGGACTCAGCGAGGGAGGCTGAGGCAGCCCTGTGATCCCTGGACCCTGCTCCAGCCCTGCTCAGAACCCCCTCTGTCTGGCCCCTCCGGAGGCTCCGGCCAGGCTCTGGGTTAGCTGAGAAGACCTAGCGGGGCAGGACACGCCGCTCACCACCCCGTCCTCACCACCCTCACCCCCGGCCTCATCAGCAGCCCCACCGTGCTAACAGAAACAGTGGGGACAGGACACCCTGGGACAAGAGGCTGTTTGCCAAAAGGGTGGTTTCCAGGAGACCTCACCCCACCCCCAAATTCCTGGATTACCCTGGATGTGCGTCCTCCCCATGGTCTTCCTCCTGGTGGGAGACAGTGAGGAGACCAGGCCGTCGCAGAGCAAGGGCAAGGGGTGGGGGGTGAGCTGGCTGCAGTGTCCAGCTGACCACAGGGGCCCAGGGTCGGGAACACAGTGTAAATGGACTTTCCACGCCTGGGCGGGCTGGAACAAATCTGAAAGGTTATAATGGAATCTTCTCGTTTGCTCAGCAAGCAGATGACACCAAGGCAGGGAGGGGCAAGTCCTGGTCAGTGTCCAGCAGGGAGTGAGCACAAGGACGCATTCCTTGATCCCGGCCTACAGAAGACACCAGAACTCTCAGGGGACCCAGTGGCAGGAGACTTGCCTCAACAGAATCCTGGGGTTAAAGACACCCGAGGGAAGCTGTCGGCGGCTGGATGATGCAAAAGGCCTTCCAGGGACTGGACCGTGGGACAGGCTCTCCCAGGAGCCGACCGAGTGAGCCTCAGGGTCAGAGGGCTTAGGCCGGGGTAAGCAACGTGCGTGTGCCGTGCCACCACAGGCAATGCGGACCATCAAAGCCTCTGTCCACTCTCGGGCACCTCATCCTGCTGAGGGCAGACGGCGGGCATGTGGCTCAGGGATTCGTGGCTCTGTGTCTGCCCCTCTTGGGCAGGCCCCTCGGGGCTGCGTCCAGCCGCGTGGCGCCTGGGTCCCTGACCGCTGCGAGTGCAACCACCCTATTTCTCATTTCCGTGATCCTGACCTGAGGCTGTCACTGCCCAAAGACTTTTCTGCAGTTGTGGTGGGTTTGGAGACCTGGTTCATGCTACCACACTGCCCCCAAATCATGTGTCACCTGTGCACCCGGTGATGCGTCAGACTCAACACCGGTTCACCCCAGAACGTATATGTACATGTGTGCTCTCATGTGTCTGTGTGAGCAGGTATGGGTGTGGGCTGTGGAAGCAGGTCAGGGCCTCGTTGTGGTGACCATCCTGCCTGGACACCATGTGTCCTGTCCCCTCCGTCTCCTGCCTCTTTCCTGGGCACTTGGCCTCTGACCACTTGGGCACCAACAGGCCTGAGACTAGACCCACCCTAGCAATTTCCACTGCCCGCCTCCCTGGGCTCTCTGCTCTGCCCCCTGCTCCCTGTCCTGCTCCCCGGCTCTCTCTGCCGGTCCGCTTCATTCCTGTGGACAGGGCACCCCGAGACCTCAGGCCCCCACCCGAGATGTCTTTCTACGAGTGTCCCACCATAGGAGAGGCAGAGAGACAGGACCAACACCCAAAGAGACAGAGCCCAGGGCCCAGAGGGACAGTGAACAAAATCTAGCACCCAGGGAGACTAAACCCAGCACCCAGCAGCCCAGAACAGTGCTTACAGCTGCTGGGAGCCGGGCCCGAGCTGCAGAACCGCCTGCAGAGACTCCGCTGGCCTGGCCCAGAGCATGAAGGGTGGGGGGATTCTGGGTCTGAGGGCAGGGGGGCCAGGACTGACTCAGTCTTGGGAGCTGCCCTTGGGGAGCGAGGCAGGACCCCGACACGGCGACAGGAAGTCACAGGACCTAGTGACAGCTGTGTGCAGAGCTGCGGCAGCAGGCCCTGTCCCCACTAGACTGCCAGGACACTCGGAGTCAGACCCAGGCCCAGATGACAGCACAGCAGGGAGGGCCGTCTCGTGCTGCCAGCCTGGGTTCTATCCCCGGCATTCCACAGGGTCCCCTGAGCACTGCCAAGCCTGATTTCTGAACACAAAGCCAGGAGTAAGCTCTGAGCACAGCTGGGCACGACACCAAGACCAACACAAGTGGGGCCTGAAGAAGTGGGGTGTGGTGGGCACCGCGGAGACCGGGGGCCCGGCGCTCTGCTGGTACCAAGCATGACGCCCCCGGGACCAGTGGCACCCTGAAGAGCTCTTGCCTGCATCACGAAGAGGGTGTTGGACTTGCCAAGGTCTGTGCTGTCAGCCCGCCTGGAGCGGACTCGGCCCAGTCGCTGGGAAGAGCTGGGACACACCAGATGCAGGTGCCACGAGAGCTGCCCAGCCCAAGGCCTCGTTCCAAGGGAGCACGGGAGCAGGGGAAGAGTCAGACCTGCCGGTCACCGGGGCGGTGCTCCGAGGCCACACCGAGCTCCAGGAGAGGACTGTTAGGGGGTGTGGGCGAGGGTGGGAATGACAGCGAGTGCTGGGCCCACGCTCCACGAGAGGTCACTCGCAGGTCTGTGCTTGCTCCCAGCTGGCCAGGCCGTGGCGGGCCCCATGGGGGCTGAGTGAGGAGGGGTGATGGCGCCAGGATCCGGCCTGCCCAGTGTGCCGTCAAGACCGGGTGTCAAGGGTCCGTTGTCCCCTGCAGCCCCGGAAGGCCTATCTGTCCTCAGTAGTGCTCGGGAGTCATCCTGGGCCCTTCTCAGGACATGTGGCCATGGCCTCGGGTGCAGGGCGGCACCAGCCACTAAGGCGGCACCCACCCGTCTCCCAGTCATTTTCCATGTGGGTCTAAGGCCTTTTCCACCTGCCCCCGGGAAGTTGGAAGGCCGGACAGAGAGGGGACAACCCCCCCCCAGCACCCAGCCCTTCTCGACTCTCCTCTCTCCTGAGCCTGGGGGTGCAGTCGTCCAGCAGACTAGTCAGCGGGTGCCCGTCCTGGGCCTGTGCAGCCTCCCCTGCTCTGGTATGCGACAACTGCAGTAGACGGAGCTCCCCGACCCTACCCAACCCACTCCTCTCCCCGAGAACTGAGGGCCCACTCGGCAGATGAGACCCCTGAGAGACAAGAGAGCACATCCCTGGAGCACCAAAAACACCCCAGCAGAGTGGGGGAGAAGATGAGACGCCCCCGGCAAGGGGAGGAGCAGACACACAGGCACCCCGCCCACCCCTCACCCAGACCCGAGCCCACTCCTCGCCCCTCCTGTGGGGGCAGTGAAAGGAGAAGCCCCACCGTGGGCGGCCATGGCCACCGGCACTCCACCGCCCTGTGCTTCAGAGTCGCCACTGGCTTCACGCTCGGGGGCTGCCCCTCCCATGTCAGCCTGCCTGGCCCCCCGCCCCAGTTCCCGACTTTGCTTCTAGGGCAAGTCGAGCGGTCACAGGGCAGCCCCCGGCCTCCGCCACTCCCGAGCGTCTCAGCCACGTCCTGCGCTTGTGGGGCACCCCAGGAAGAACCAGAGACGCTCAGCCCCAGGATCCACCACCGGGCCCAGGCCCTGCCCTCTCCCAGACGCAGCCCGGTCCACGACGTGGTCATGAGACCATGAGTCACTTTCCAGCGCCTGTGTGTGTCAGCACAATGGCCACTTCACTTGGGCCAGCAACAATGGACGGTGCCACCGAGGCGTGTCCTCTCTGCTGAGCCGCGTGAGATGCCACTCGCCCCCCGGGCCTTTTAGGCTGCATCTTCTGGCCCTGAGCCTCTGTGCCTCTGTGTCGATCATGAGGGGTCTGTGAAGGCAGTGAAGGCTGAGTGTCAGCCCCGAGGGGCGGGGGGTCCCGTGACCCTGCCAGCAGCCCTAGCAAGGCCCGGGGTCCCCGACCATCATCTCTGCCACAGAGGCCAGTGAGCTTTGGGGAACCTGCCCAGCCGCCTCCCGCTCTTTCCCGCTGCCTGCAGGGGCCCCCACCCACCCCGCACGTGCTCTCACGAGCTTGCCTTCCATCCTGCCTTCCTAAGTTGCAGCCCCAAGGACGCCCGTGGCCCCCTGACCAGCCACCACCCCCACGCTCCCCCGCCCCAGCTTAGCCCCGAAGCCTTCTCAGGGCAGTGAGGAACTTCATGCATCATTCACTTCTGGCCCTCGGACCCCCTCCCCAGAGTGCATCCACCTGCAAACCAGGAGAGCCGGCGTTCCCACTGCCCGGGACCTGCCCTCCCCCTCACTCCCACCCGACCCACACGCACTTTTGCCTCTTCTTTCCCTTCTCCCACGTCTCCGGCTCCTTTATTTCCCTCGCCTCTGCCGGGCGTGGGGCCGCGGCAGCCGGTGGAGTCTGGCTTCCTCTGTTGCTCCCTCGCCACCACCAAAGCCCCCACGCGCCCCCCACTCTTGTGGGCACTGGCACCCAAAGGCTGTGATGCAGACGGGACGGGTGCAGTGGGCACAGGACAGAGCCTGGTCGCTGCCAGGCCGAGCGTGGCCATCTGGAAGCGCTTCTTCCTCAGTGAAAGGGCCCATTGCAAAAGCGGCACACACTGCCAGGTGGGTGGGATCGCACCCAAGGCCAATAGCTGCTCTGCTGAGAGCTGGCAGCGCCACGCCACTCCTCCGGTCGCCATCCCCATGTCACAACCCCCAGGCTCCTCCGTGCCGCAGCCCAGAGGCTCATCGCCGTGTCCCGGCGGCGGGCAGCCAGCCCTCCTTCCGATGGCTCTTCCCAGGAAGCAGCTGCTGCCCGTCCTGGTCCTGGTCCTGGCCTCCTACTACTACTCAGCTCGCGATGAGTTCAGGCCAGGTGAGTGCGGGGCAGCCCGGGAGTGAGCCCACCAGCTCATCCCATTACTAGCCGAGCCAGAATTCCCCTGGGATGCTGCTTCTGGCCGCTGGCCGGCTGCCCCAGGGGCTCTGGGAGCAGGAGCCCAGCCTCGGCCGGCAGACCTCGCTGTCTTGGACATCTGTCGAGGTGACGGCAGTGGGTGCAGAGCGGAGTCTCTCGCACTGGGGGGAGGTGCAGTGGGGACCCCTGGGGAGGGCTGTGTGTAGTGAGGGGACCACACATATCTGAGGCCACACCCTCTTAGGGCAGCCCACTCAAATGCTTCCAGAAGAGCAGTATCTGTAGACTTCATCCTACCCTGGCCTGCGACCTCTGGTTCTTTGGGGTTGAGCAAGCAATGGGTCTGCCCACTGCAATAAATGCCCCTTTGCAAAACGCTCCCTGAGGGTGCCAAGGGCCTGGTGGCAGGGTGGGGGGTGGGGACAGGCCAGACCCCAGCTGGGCATTTGCCTCATTCCCTGTCTGTGTCTCCAGAGATGCTTCGAGGGAAGCGTGTCATCGTCACCGGGGCCAGCAAGGGCATCGGGGAGGAAGTGGCCTACCACCTAGCCCGCATGGGCGCACACATGGTGCTGACAGCGCGTTCCGAGGGCACACTGCGGAAGGTGAGGGAGCACGAGTATGCAGAAGTGCACACGTGTGGGCACATGTACTCATATGCGTGCACACTGATCACGAGGTCGCATACATACATGCACACAGTGAAGGCACACAATTGTGAGCATACATGTGCTTGCATATGCCTGCCTTTGCATGCACGTCCCATGCCCTCTGTCACACAGCACATGGGGATGTGTTCATGCATCGCACGTGTGTCTACATGTGCGTGTACATGCGTGCCCACAGAGCCTCACATGTCTGAGCACAGACATGCTGACACATGAACCACACAGACAAATATGTACAGATTTTGAGACACACAGGGACATAGAGCTTCAGACACCATGGTGGGGTGCCAGTGCACACACATGTGCACACACATACAAGTTCCTGTGTTTGGCACTTCTTGGCACTGACAGAGCAGCGTGTTCATAGGTCTAGCTCTAGGCAGCGTGGAAACATGCTCCCAGACACGGGCACCAGACACGGGCACCCAGACACGGGCACCAGACACGGGCACCAGACACGGACACCCAGACACGGGCACCAGACACGGACACCCAGACACGGGCACCAGACACGGGCACCAGACACGGGCCCCAGACACAGACACCCAGACACGGGCACCAGACAAGGGCACCAGACACGGGCACCCAGACATGGGCACCCAGACACGGGCACCCAGACATGGGCACCCAGACATGGGCACCCAGACATGGGCCCCAGACACGGGCACCAGACACGGGCACCCAGACACGGGTACCAGACACGGACACCCAGACACAAGCACCCAGACATGGGCACCCAGACACCTGCACCAGACACGGGCACCAGACACGGGCCCCAGACATGGGCATCAGACATGGGCACCAGACACGGGCACCCAGACACCCTGCCCTGCAGACCCAGGAGCAGGGCAAGTGGCCACAACTCCGGCAGCCCCAGTCCACGGCTCCCCGGCACCCCCGCCAGCTCTTGCCCTGGCCAGGGCTCGCTGTGTGCTGTGCTGAAGGTGCCCTGCCCACAGGTGGCGTCCCGCTGCCTGGAGCTGGGTGCAGCTTCTGCCCACTCGGTGCCCGGCTCCATGGAGGACACGGCCTTCGCGGAGAACTTCGTGGACACAGCTGCCCGGCTCCTGGGTGAGCCCGCGGCATCCTCCCCTCAGGGCCTGGCCGGTGTCCCCAGGGAGGCGGGTGGAGAAGCTTGGGGTCCCGCCCAGGGTCTCTCAACACCCCCGTCCACCTCATGCCGCAGGCGGGCTGGACATGCTTATCCTCAACCACATCATGGCCATGAGCCTCGAGCTGTTTGGGGCCGACGTGCTGGGTATGCGCAGGGCCCTGGAGGTGAACTTCCTGAGCTACGTGGTCCTGAGCGTGGCCGCCCAGCCCCTGCTGAGGCCCAGCAACGGCAGTGTGGTGGTGGTGTCCTCTCTGGCCGGTGAGTGCCCCAGAACTCAGGCCAGCGCAGAGCTGTCAGGGAGGGCAGGCCCAGCGCCTGGTTCCAGGAGAGCCGAGGGCTGTGCTCACTCAGTGACAAGGTGGGGGGTAGGGGGTAGGGCTGGCACCCAGGAATGAAATGACAGGTGTATGGGGGGAGCTTGGGGTCACAGCCGCCTCCACCAGGGACTTCCCAGCCCAGGGAGCAAGCAAGGGGCCTATCCCTGAGGGCCCCTGCGGCGAGAACACGGGGCAGTCAGACCCACTGACTGGTCAGTCCCACAGAATGGACAGGAGAGACCAGCCACTCGGTTACCGGGGGTGACAGCGACTGAACCCCTGCTCCCCACACCAGGCAGACGGCCACCACATGGGCTGCAGGGAGATCTGGGGACCAGCTGGATACCTGCCCGCAGCACGGGGCATGCTCCACCAAGAGCTGCCTGTGGGTGCCTGCACAGACAGGCCTCGCCGAGGGTCAGTTTGCTCCCCCTGCCCTCACCTCTGGACACGTGGCTCTCCCCATGCCCAGCAGAACCCCCGAGAGACTGACCTGCAGAGACCCACCTGTCCCCTCCCCTGGAACAAGCCCTCCCCCCGGTTCATCCTGACTCAGGGGGTGAGAGGTGGTCAGTTGTGTCCACTGGTCCTGCTTTCCCGTTACCAGCAGCCCTGGGGGTGTGGAGCGGGGCGGTGACAGGGGTCATGGTGATGGTGATGAGGACAGCGACGGTGGTGGTGGTGATCCTGGTGTTCGTGCCGGTGTGTCTCCCCGACTGTCTCCTCTAGCTCCTCTCTCGTTCCTCTGCACTGGGCTCAGCGCCAGCCCTCTGGACCAGGCCCCCGGGGTGCTCCATGGGGCCAGTTTCCAGCACCTGCACTCAGTGTCCCAAGACCCTGGGAGCTCTGGGCTCCAACTCCAGACTCCAGCCCCCGCCCTCTCTGGAGCTGGATTTGCAGAGAAAGGCAGCCACGCCTGGGAAGCAGAAGCTGGGCCCAGAGGCCCCGGGGTGGGTCTGTGTTCCCTCCGCCTGCCCGCACCTGGGGAGGCCCCGAGTGGCAGGTCTCCCACCCTGCCCAGCTCCTGGCACTGCTCTGCAGTGCTCTGCCTGCTGGCCAGCTCCCAAGACTGCCCAGGGTGCTCTCCACGCCTCTTTCCTTGCCTCTGCCCTCCTTCGCACCTTTGCATGGCAGTCCCAGGCGTCTCAGGTGCGTGTGCACGCTTTGGCGGGGGTGGGGGGGATGTGCATCTGGGCGTGGAGGCCTGCCTTCAGGCCCGGCGGTGAAAACACGGCAGGAGGACAGGAGCCAGGCAGCGGGCGAGTGCCAAGCTTGCAGGCACCGGGGCGCGATGACCTGGCTTGGTCACTGCCCAGATGCAGTGCTGGGCAGTGGGGGCAGGAAGGAGCCTTTCAATGACCAGCGCTGGCTCCCAGCCCTCCTTAGAGCCCTGAGCCTCCTTTGACATGGAAATCATGGCGACCATCTAGCCCAAACAAAGGCTGGGCTGGGCTGCCAGCTGGGTCCCGCTCCTGGGGCAGCGCCTGAGCAGACTGGGAGGATGGGGGCTCGCCCCATGCCAGCGGCTGCCCCCCACTCACGGCCCACACAGGGCAAAGGCTCTGCTAGGTCTGACCTCCCAGGGTCTAGTGTCGTGTCTCCCCTGAGTCCCCGTCACGGGGGCCTGCAGCCCCCCCCGCCGAGTGTGGCCTAGACTCAGGAGCTGCCCTGAGCCGGCCGAGGAGGCTTAACTGGGGTCGTGGGGGGGGGTTCCTCACAGCCCCACCACTTGAGGCCCCGGTGATCAGGGACGGTCTCCACGACCTTCCAGACCCCGCGGCCAGGAGAAGGCGCCTGCGCACGCACGTGACAGGGCAACGCCACCACCCAGACCCGAGAGTGGGACGCCCCAGGGAGCCCTGAGCTTCCCCGCCCGAGACAGCAGGACCTGTCTCTCGGGGCTTCTCGGGGCTTCTTGGCACATGGTCTGGGTGAGGGGCAAGGTGAGCGGTGTCTGGCTCCAAGGTCCCAGCCACGGTCCCCGAAGGAAGCAGAACCAGGAACGCAGCAGAGGGGAAGGGTGTTGGGCATCTGGCCCAGGGAGGGGGCACGGGGTTGGCTCCCCAGCCGCGCTCCAGATACCCACCAACCTCTCGGCCCCGGGACCAGCCAGCCCAACCCGACCAGGGACACCCAGGTTCACCAGGGGCCCCGGAGACCTCATAGCCACGCCTCTGATGGGGCCGCTCTCTGCCACTGTCCCCCGCTGACACCGCCTCTGCCCACAGTTCTTAGCTGCGAGCTCAGACTGGCTCGGGGTGGGGGCTCCCCTGTGCCAGGACCCCCTGTTCGGCCTGTGACAGAGCCTGAGTCTGGGTGCTGAAAGGCCAGTGACTCAAGGGACAGTGGAGAGGCAGACCTAAGAATTGACTCAGGCTTGGCTATGTGAGGGGCTGGCACAGACCATTCTGGGGGCCCTCGGGGTCTGCAGGGGGGCTGGGCCGAGAGCCAGCCGGGAAGAGTCGGGAGGCTGCAGGCAGCATGGGAGAAGAAACATCAGAGCTTCTGGGCTGGTGTGGGCACTGTCCACTCTGGGAGGCTGCATCTGTCCCTGGGAGCGACCACCCACTCCCCACGTCTGTGCCCTGACCCTGGACGAGCCTGCAGGGAGCTGTCGCTGAGTGGGCTCTGGAGACCAGGGGCATCCTGGGGTGGCGCGCCTGTCGTCTCCTCCTGTCCTCCCCATCGGTGACTGGACAGGCCCCAGAGCATGAGAGCACGGTCTCTCGGGACGGAGGGACAGAGATGGGGCAGGGAGAGGCTCTGGAGTCCAGGCGATAACCACGATGGCGTCCCTCATGCTCCCCGGTCAGAGCTGCTCCTCTCTGGCCAATAATCCGGAACATGGAGCGACTTCTCATGTTCCCAGGGGCTGCTGCCGTTCCGGCCGTTCCTTCTGATGTCCAGGTCCAAGCAACGGGAAGTTCAGTGGCCTGCCCTGGGGCCTGCTGTGCAATTGATCGGTAGCTGCTCTTTCCCGGACCCCCCGGGTTTCTCACCAGCAGAGCTGGGTCCCGCATTCCTGCGTCCAGAGGAAACCGAGACTGGGTGTTTACATTGGACGTGGCGCTGTGTGAGCAAGGGCACTCTGTGTCCAGCTGCAGCTGTCCACAGGCAGCTTTCAGAGGGATGCGACCCCGTGAGGGACCAGCAATCTTTCCTAGCACTGACCAGCACCCCGGGGTGAGCTGTCCTGGCTCTGCTGACCTTTGTCTATGGGCTCAGAGGTCCCTCGGGGCGGTGCCCACTGCGGAGCTGAGGAGAGATTCACCGCGAGTGAGGAGAGGGCGCGGCAGAATGGCAGGAACAGGCGGCTATCCCAGCTGCTGCCCTCCGGAGCTCCGGGCTTGCAGACCAGGAGGAAGAGGGTGACACTTCTGCAACAGCTGGAGGGAGTGGAGGGCCTCCTGGGGAGGGGCCGCAGAGGGAAAGGCCTCAGCAAACACTCCCAGCCCCTGGTCTCTGCACCAGAGGGGAGGGGACGCACAGCACAGGGACAGCCAGCATGCTCTGACCTGGGTTCAGGTCCGGGCCCCGCCCCCTGAGCATCCCCTGGTATGGCCCAGGCATTCCTTCCAGGTACAGCTCAGGCGGCTCTAGGTGTGGCCCGAGCGTCCCCGGGTGTGGTCCGGGCATCCCCAGCACTGGAGGGCCTGAGCAGCTATGACTCACTGGCAGGAAACCCCCGGCCTCCAAGCATTGTCTGGGCGCCCCCCACAAAGACAGGCCCCATGGTGAGGGACGTTCACTAGTGTGGCGGAGACTCCTCAGGCACAGGACAGACCACAGAGCGTCACACTGCTGGCCCAGAGCCCGCGCACTGCTGGGTGTGGCCTGGCCCGGCGGATGCGACAGAGCCCAGCAAGGCCCTGGTGGCCTGCAGTGAGAGCAAACCCAGAGCGTCTGCTGGAGAGACGAGCCGATTTCCAGTCCTCCACAAGGCTGGGGTGCCGTGTGGGGCTGGGGGCGGCGGAGCCTGGGCTGCCCCCCCACCAGGCCGCCTCCTCACGCGAGCTGAGAGTGAGCTAAAGCGTGACCAAGGTTTGCTGTGATGACCGTGACGAGAGCTTCATGGGCAAAGGCGGCAGCTCAGCGTGCCGGCTCCCTGTGTGCATGGTGGTGGGCGGGCACGGCCCTCTCCACCCTCTCGTAGCCCCTTGAGATCCCCCGATGCCCCGGCCCAGCCCTGCAGCAACCCTGACTCCGTGACTCTGGACACTTCCGTGAGCCTGGGTCCCAAGCCTCTCTGTGCCCCACAGGGAAGGTCCCCACCCCGCTCCTCGCCCCCTACGCGGCCAGCAAGTTCGCTCTGGACGGCTTCTTCTCCTCCATCAGGCTGGAGAACCAGATGACGGGCGTGAACGTATCCATCACACTCTGCATCCTCGGCCTCATCGACACGGGTGAGTGCAGGAGGCTCCTCGCAGACAGCACCCCACCCCCAGACACTGTCCTGTCCGCCCCCTAGCTCACGGGCACCCCGGGACAGGACAGGCTTCCTGGGGAGGGCCTCCTGTTCCTGGAGTCGCAAGCAGGACAGAGCCGAGGCCATGCCCGGGAGCGGGACAGGCACGTGGTCCTGGGGCAGGGAGGGGGGGCCCTCCTGCCCGCTCGGGGTCCCCCTCGCATGGAGGACGGGGGAGACACGCCTGTGTTGGTCCCGCAGACACCGCCATGGAAGCGGTGGCCGGCATCATGAGCGCCGAGGCGGCGCCCAAGCAGGAGTGCGCCCTGGAGATCATCAAGGCGGGCGCACTGCGCAGGGAGGAGATGTTCTACGGGAGGCCCGGCTGGGTCCAGCTGCTGCTGCTCAACCCCGGCAGGAGGGTGCTCGAGCTGTTCTCGCTGCAGCGCTACAACCTCGACAACCTCCCCAGGCCCGAGGCCCGGCCCTAGCCCCAGGCTCGGGGGGCAGCGGCGTCGCCCCAGAACGAGGATGTGTCCTGGGGGTCCCGCTCATGCCCACCCCGGCTCAGGGCAGCTCAGGGCCACCCCCGGCCAGGGCCTGCTGGGACCCCACAGACCTCGGTGACAGGACCCAGGGGAATAAATGCCTCGGGCTGCTCTCATCTCCGTCCCTGCCCCACCCGCCTCTCGGGCCACTGGCCGCCATCCCGGGCACTGAGCATCTGACCCGGCGTAAGCGCAGACTCCCCAGCCCCATCGGTTCTGGGTTGCTGCCGGCTGCATGCCAGGAAAGACCACCAGGAGCTCCAGGGGCTCGGCCCTCGCTCCCCATCAGTGTGGTGGTCCGTCGCTGCCAGGACGCTGGCAGAGAGAGCTGAGGAGCTGAGGCCCCGGCCAGGGTGCCCAGCTCAATCATCCCCAACGCCTCCTTCACCAGCTCCGGCAGGGCCTGGCAGGGCCCTGGCAAGGCTGAGGATGTCCAAGGCTTTCCGGCCTCAGCCTGGTGGCGTGCAAACGGCAAGCATGCCCCTTCGCAACACAGAAGAAAGGGTGGGCCACGGGGGAGGACAACAGACCCCTTCCACGCGCTCCACTAGGCTTCCAGGCCCACAGAGGGGAGGAGAGCCGGGACAGAGGGGAGGGGGTAGGAGGGGTTCAGAGGACGGCCCGAGTGGACACTACGCTAAGCTCAGCTCCCGCCTCCGAGCGACCATGGGAGGACCTGTGCCCGGCAGGGACGCAGCGGGCTGGGGTCTCTGCAGCTGCAGGGACCTGGGCAGCCCCCACCACCCACAGAGCGTGGTTTGGGGTCCTATCCGCACACGGTCTCCAGCGACGCCTGGTGGTGGCCCACGGACACACGTGTGCCCAGACAGACGTGCCAACCCCAGCCGGCCTGGCACCGGGGACACCAGGGGCCGCTCCAGAGCGACACCTTGTGGTCACCATGGGCAAGGCCTGAGCTTGCCTGGAAGCCAAGTCAAGGTCAAAGGCAAAGGCTGGTGTCAAGCTGAGGTGGAGGCTGACCCAGGCCTGTTTCGAGGGTCTTGGAAAAGCCCAGAACAACAGGCAGGGCCGTGGAAAAACCACGGTCCCAGAACAACAGGCGGGACACGCCCACCCCGCACAGCACAGCACAGGCCAGCCGCCCTGAGTCGAGGGTCCGGAGTGGCTGGTCTGGGGGCGCCTCCGGCCTCTGCCCACGCCAGCACACCTCCTTCCTTTCCCCAGGAGAGCAGCCTCCTGCCCGCCAACGTCCGCCACCCCTGTCTCCTCAACTTTGCGGCCCCCAGTTCCCTAGAGACCCTCCTCTCTGTCCCTTCCTCCTCTATCGCTGGAGACCAGAGAGCGGGCGGGGGGCACAGGTAAGCCCAGGCATGTCAGTCCTAGGGAGGGGTCACAGGGCTGGGCGCCTGTGTGCGGACCTCAGGCCTGTTCCGAGGGTCTTGGAAAAGCCCAGAACAACAGGCAGGGCCGTGGAAGAGCCACTGCAGCTGCAGGGACCAGGGCAGCCCCCACCACCCGCAGAGCGTGGACACTCCAGCCTGACGAGGAGCTGGGGGCCTCCTGGCTTGGGCCCGGAGCAGAGCAGGGCTCCGTCCCCGCCACTCCGAGCCCCACCCTGACCCCCTGAGGTCTTCATGTGCCTTTGTCCTGTCCCCCTGCTCAGAGAAGCGTGGGCTGGCTTCCGGCATCCCTGCAGCACCGTGCAATGTCCCCGTCCCGAGGCGGGGCTGTGGTCTCCTTTGCCAACCCCATCACCTTCACTTCCCCAATCCTGACCAGAACTCCAGAGGAGCAGAAGCCTCTATACAGGACCAGGAGACCCCCAAGTGGGGGGTGGGGTAGGGAGGACACCTCCGCCCCACCAGATGCTAGTGCAGGGCCTAAGGCCCAGGCCTGGGGCCGGGTGGGGGGCCGGGAGTGCGTGAGGGAGTGGGTGTGTGGGAGCAGGATACGAGGGGGGAGCTGAGTATGGTGAGCAAGCAGGGGTGGTGGGGGAACTGGGTGCAGGTGGCAGAGCTGGGCGCGGGTGAGGGGAGGAGCCCTCACTGGGGAGGCCCCTTCTAAGGTGCTGCTGAGAGGAACTTGAGTGCAGCCTGCGGCTGGGCCGGCTTCCTGTTTTGTGAGGCCAAGGCTGGGCCCGGTGGAGGGCGCGGGGCCAAGGGGCCAGGGCTGAGCCGTAGCCGCCGAGGTCGGGAGGAGCAAGCTGTGGGCCATGCTTTCCCGGGAGCCAGAGGCAAGAGCCCAGGTAATGGGTCCAGTCGGGTGGGCTGATCGGGGCTCTCGGGCAGGGGAGTGTGGGTGGGATTCCGGGCAACCCCATGCACAGCCGGGGTGTCTGGTGCAGGGCTCAGACCCACAGCGGGGATCCCACAGGGACAGGCCCCTGCCCACACCCCCTGGCTCACATGTGGAGGCCGGCCAGAGGCCCAAGGACAGTGGTCAGGGGCTCTCTCACTGCTGCTCACCGAGGCCGGAGGGACAGCCAGTGTCCCTCTTTCCAGCTACCCCGGGCTCTGGGTGCCCAGGCCAGAAAGACCTTTCCATGACCCCCGGGGCCCACGGAGCCCACTCCCAGCCTCTGGCCCAGCCTGGCCCTGTGGACGAGTGGGAAGGGACAACGCCAACTCCTGGGACCACCGGGGAAGCACAGCAGCTGCCCCTCCAGCCCCAATCACGGCCAACTCTGGCCACCGGAAGCAGGGCGACACACAGAGGGCCTGCGGGGGCGAGACTGACTCACCCTGGGATCCGCAGGGGCAGAAGACCCCTGTCCAGACCAGGAGCCACACATGGGGATCCATGACCCCCTTCCAGTAAGCAGGAGGCGGCAGGTGGACCCCTGCTCACAGTCTCAGCCGCCTGAGCCCGTTCGGACGCATTCCAAGTGTCTTGTGGGTTCCACAAAGTTGGCAGGGGACATCCTTGGCCCCGGGGCTCAGCTCCTGGGGCCTGGGTCTCTCGGGGCAATGTGAGACACGAGAGCAGGTGGTTCTGGGCCTGGGCTCCCCACAGGCCCCAGTCTTCGGGAGCTGGAGCTCCCAGGGCCTCACGAGGCCCTGAGCACTCGGTGCTGGGGCCTGTGGGGGATGCACGGGCCTGCACAGCCCCCTGACACACTAGAACGGGCCTCTCTGCCCTCATGGGGTGCGAGGAGGTCAGGCGGGACCTCTCGGGGAGCGGTGGGCCGGGGCGGGGCTCGTGCAGAGGGCTGGGGTCTCGGCGGGGGACAGGGGGCAGGGCTGCAGGCGGCTCTGTGCCTGGAATAGACACAGCAGCTGCGGGCCACTGGGCCGGTTCCGGTCTGTGGAGGAGGCAGCAGCCGCAGCACCCGCTCAAGCACTCGGGGTGCTGGGACAGACACGCTCCCCGCACGGAAGGGCAGGGGTGCACGCGGAGAGGCCGTGGCCCACACGGCACCGTGATCCGTGAGGCAGGTAGGCCTGCTCGGTATCCAGGCGGACAGGGCCGGGTGCAAAGCCCCGAGGGAGGGGCACTGTGCAGGGGAGCAGGACTTGCTGTAAAGGCCCTGCTGCCCACGGGCCCTGGGAGGGGTCCTTCACCCTCCGGGCACCCCACTCTGGCCTGGGAGAAGGGGCTGAGCATCCGAGGGATCCCAGGGGTCCCTGGAATCCAGAAGGGGTGACACCCTAAGACCCCACCGCAGGCCCAGACTCAAGGCCCATTCGATCCCCCCGGCCCCTCTAGGTGTGGCAGCGACTCCAGGACCAGGAAGGCTGGCCGGACGGCTGCTCAGAGGCCCCCATGCCCGGCCCTGGTCCCAGGCGCGCCCCCCGCCGCATCCGCCGCCCCGAGACCTACGAGGCCAAGTGTGAGCGGCGGCAGGAGGCCCGGGAGAGCCGGCGCTGGCGCCCCAACGTGACCACCTGCCGCCCAGCAGGGAAGGTGGCACGCGATCGGCTCCGGGAGCGGCTGCAGGGTGCGAGGCAGCGCCAGCTCCTCCTCCGGAGGCGTCTGGGTGGGCCTGAGGTGGCCGGCAGTGAGTCCCTGCTGAGGAAGCAGGTGAGCATGTCCGGGACATGCTGGGCCCAGCAATCCTGGGGGGAGGGGGAGGACGGGACAAGCCGCCTGAAGAGCAGGTGGCCCTGGGCCCTGGCTCCCCGGGGCCGCCCTCCTGTCGGCTGGCACGGGCACCCGCCACTGCTCCACACCACCCTCACGTGTGCATGCCCACGCAGCCGTGGCCCTCCAGCACACGTGTGCGGGAACACAGGCACACTCGCCATCACGCGTGCCCTGCAGAGAGGGGCACTCCTGCCCCACGGAGGGAAACAGAAAGAGCAGGCCAGGGCCCGCAGGTCGGCGTGAAGAGCCCACCCTCAGCAGAACCCACTTCCTTCCAGTTGCCGGGAGCCAGCCCTGAATTCTGCCACCCACCCCAGCACCCACCTCCCTCAGGTGGCCCAGGAGACCTGGCTGGGCCCCGGCCCCACAAGCTGCACTGCGGTAAGCGCAGACATGGTAGGCGGTGGGGCCCCAGGGAAGGCCCTGCTGCGCCCTGCCCACCTCTGCCCTGCCCTCCCGCTGCCCGTCCTGGCCCCCCAGCCTTCCCCCCGCCCCTCCAACGCTCCTTGCCTTGTCTCTCCCAGGCACCCAGACACTGGCGGAAGGAGCCAAGCCCCCTGGCAGGAGGGACACAAGCCAGCAGACCAAGTGAGCCCACCTCGTTGGCCCTCCGGTGCTCAGGGAGGGGACCCCGGAAGTGCCTGAGACAGGGTCCCCACCCGCCACTCGGGTCCAGGGCCCGCTGTGCCCTCGTGGGGCGGCTTGGGGGCAGCAGCTCTCTCTGCCTTGCAGCTGTGGCGTGGCGGTGCTGGATCAGGTAGGAGGTGCCCCCAGCCTTCTCCCCCACACACTGGACCCCCGTCCCTGGCCCCACCTCGATGACGCCCTCGGGGCCCCCTGAGAGCAGCCTGCCTCACCCTGACCTCTCTCGCCAGGAAATCGTGCAGCTCTCCGAGTACCTCAAGGTAAGGCCCGGCGCTCCCCGGCCCACCCACCACCGCTCGGGGGTCTCACGCCTGTGTCCCCACAGGAGGCGCTGCAGAGGGAACTGGTACTGAAGCAGAAGATGGTCCTGCTCCAGGACCTGCTGGCCACGCTGACCCAGACCTCCCACGACTCCTGGACAGTACGTGGGGCCTCGGCCCAGGGAACAGAGGGCGACCCTGTCCCCGCTCAGGACTGTGTCTGTGTGCACCTGTGTCTTGTATGTTGTGTGCGACCATGTGTGGTCGTGTATCTGTGTATACCTGTGTGCCCGTGTACCCCTGTGTGTGTGTGCGCCTACATGTGCTGTGGGTCTGTGTGAGTGTGCCCATGTGCTGTATGCCCACGTGCACCTGTAGCTGTGCCAGGCGTCAGCATCCGCCACGTTTCTGTATCTGTGCGCCCATGTCTGTGTGCCCATATGTATGCTGTGCCTGCATCTGCATGCCAGTATGTGTCTGTGTGCCCATATCTGTGTGCCATATGACTGTGCCCATACGTGCCTGTGTGCGCGGATCTGTGGCATGTGTATGCATATCTGTGTACCATGCGTGTGCCTACATCTGTGTACAGTGGATCTGTGCGTACTCGTACCTGTATGCTGTGTCTGTATGTGCCCCTGTGTGTCTGTGCACCCTTATCTGTGTGCCATGTGTGTCTGTGCCTGTGTGTGCTGTGCGTGTGTCCGTGTCTTCCTATCTTTCAAGCAGAATGTCCAAGTCTCGGAAGGAGTGCAGATAGGAGTCACTGGCCACTGAGCCTTGGCCCAGCTGGGAGGTTGGGGCGGCTTGGGGCAGGGGGGCAGGCAGACTGTCCCTGTGCCGAGGACAAGGAGCCCTACCATCTCCCCCCTCCTCCTGGAGTGGAGACCCCAAGCTGTGCCTGGGGCCAGGGCAGGGCACCAAGTTTCCCGGGTACCTGGTGTGACCAGGACTCACCTGCGTGCCCTCACCAGGGGCAGCTGAATGAAGACAAGCTGAGGAGCCGACTACACACCCTGGAGAGCCAGCTCCACACCTGCACGCAGGTGAGCCCTGCCCCTCCCCCCTCCTCCCCCCCCCCCCCCCCCCCCGCCCTGCCAGGGCGCTGACCTTAGGATCCTGAGCCCAGGGCAGAAGAGCCATGAGCTGACCTAGAGAGCCTTCCCCACGTGGCTTTTGGAGGGGCAGCCGGACAGGCACAGCGGGCTGCATCCGCCCCCTCCCCCCCCAGCTCAGACTCAGACCATCAGGCAAGAGCTCCATCTGCTAAACGTTTGTCTAGGCTCTGGGCCAGGGTTCGTGGGGCCCCCAGGGGCCTGCATACTCCCATGGTCCCTGCAGTTCACGCAAGAGACCGCTGATACCACTGAAGGAGGTCCCCAGGGATGCAGTGTGGAAGTACAGGGAGGGACACGCTGTATAGCTGACAGGCAGTGCAGAGGCCCACAACAAATGCCCAATGAGGGACGAGAGGAACAGCCCTGCCCTCACCACATCTGCCCAGGCAGGAAGGATCAGGAGGTCCACAGAGAAGTCCAAAGGCTTTATTGAGAGATCAGGTGGGAGGTGGGCCTCCTGGGGGGCAGCAGAGTGGCCTGACACAGACAAGGCTGAGGCCCCAGAAGGGAGTAAGGGTCGGGCTCACCTCTGCAAGCTGGTCTTCTGGGTCTCCGCCCCAACTGTCCTGGGTACTTCCATGAGGGAAGCCTCACCCAGGTGCCACCTCTGCTCTGACCGGAACTTCCGGTCCTCTGAGTGGCCCCTCCGGGGTCCAGTCTCCAGTGCTCTGGGGCCCCTTCAGAACTGGTGACAACTTTAGGCCACATCTTATTTCATTCGTACACTCCGAGAAATGCGTTGCCAGGCCCCTGCCCCCACCTCACTGGCTTAGTAACCCTCGTACCTGGGTCCCATGACAAGGCTGAGACATGGGCTGCCTCTATGAGCCCCGATACTTCAGATGGAGTCACACCATGGGCTCTCAAATGCCACGGAGTCCTGACCCACCCCTGCAGTCCCTCCACTGGCCTAGCCCCCTGTGCCCACAGGCCACCCGGGACTGACCCGGTAAGCCCGGCCTTCCCGGAGGCCCCAAGGCTTCTACCTGCCCCAGGCAGAAGTGACAGTCCTGTCCCCCACCATGACCCTGGGGGCCAGAGAATGTGCTCAGAACCTGGGCCCTGCTCCTGAAGGAGAGATGCTCCCTGGGAGACGGTCCTGGGACGTCAGGGGCAGGCCGGAGAGCCAGCGACCCCTAAGAATAGCGGAGACCCCTCCAACATGCAGGCAGGAGTCCAGGCTGACCTGATGGGGCAAGGACGGACATGGGTGCCAGGCAGGGGACAGGGGCCAGTCCTGCTTCCAGGCGTCTCTTCCCAGGGTGGGCCCCAGCACCCAGCGGTTGTGCTTAAGCCCACGTGTACGAGCGTGTGTGTGTGTGCCGTGTCTGGCTGCAGAAAGCCACCCCACGGGGCCTGCGGAAGGCCCTGCTGGAGATGGAGCAGCGGCAGAGCAGCTACGAGCTGCAGGCCAAGGAGCTGCTGTGGAAGGTCCTGGAGGAGAAGAGGGCGGCCGAGCAGCAGCTGCGGGGCACACAGGTGAGCAGGCAGGCCCGGCGGGCAGGCCAGGTGAACCGGACAGCAGCCGGGCCTGCCATGCCCTGCTCTCCCCGCAGCGGTCCCTGGCGCTGGCTGAGCAGCAGTGTGCGGAGTGGAGGACCCGCTGCCAAGCCCTCCAGGCAGGAGGGAGCAGCCCACAGGGCCAACGCAGCAGCTGCAGGCCACAGGTCAGCCGGGCTGCTCAGTGGAGGGGGAAGGGGGGGATACCAGGGGGCTCCAGGCGACATGTGAGCCCAGCAAGCGCAGAGCTCCTCACCAACCCTGGAGGAACTGGACCCTGAGGAAGGGGACTGGCCTCCCACTGCCCACACCCCTCCCTCACCCTCCTCTGACAGGGGACGGTGCAGAGCCCAGGCCTGGAGGCGGCAGCAGGCTCGCAGAGGGACAGCGGCCCACACGGCCCCGTGACCACACCCTGCCCAGGTACCCTCCCAGAGCCCCTCACAGCACTGGCCACGCCTGAGCCCAGTGGGCCCGAGACGGGCACAGCCCCACCTACCCCGTGACCATTCTGGGCCCTGCCCTGATCTGCAGCCTCGCCCTGTGCTTCCTTCCAGTCCAGCCACTGCAGCCGGACTGTCCCCATGCTGCAGAGTGACCAGTAGGGTGAGTTCTCCCTGGGTGGCCAGGGCTCCCGTCCACCCAGAGCAGCCCCAGACGGGCACAGACCAGCTGCCAAAGGGGGCAGCGGGCCAGATACCCTCCCTCACTCCCCTCCCCACTCCAACCCCAAAACCACCTTTCCAGAGCATGGGAAGTGGGGGGGGGGGCAGAGAGAAGTGGGTGTCAGAACACACTGGTGGGTCCTTATCAGACGCCCCCAACTGAGCTGGGATGAGGCAGCCAAGTCACCTTCCCCGCATGGAGCTGGCCTGGAAGACAGCCAGGAACCAGGGGGTGCAGACAGGAGCAAGCAGCAGAGAGCCTGGGGGCAGCCCCAGCCCCCCACCCCCACCGGGAGAACTGGGCGCCCAAGCACATCCCGGCCAGATAGTGACGCCTGTCCCTGCTCCTCACAGAACCGCAACGGGGCAAGCGTCCCCCTCCCCAGGCCCACAGCTGTATCCGGAGTCCCTGCTCAAAACTTCGGGCACCAGCCTGAGTCCCAGGGTGCCCCAGTCTGACTTGGGGGGCAGAGCCCACCGCATCACCCTGCTCGTGAGGCCCTGTGCAGACAACCTGCAGGCAGAGTTGAGGCAGCCCCATTTCCAGCAGGTCTGCTGCAAGATGCCATCCCACCCGCCCCAGCACCAGACGGTGCCCGCCTGCCCCCCAAACTCTGACACCAGAGTCTGGTGTCACCACCCGATGCACCCAGGCCTGGTGCCGCTGGTCAAACAGGAGCAGAAAGGGGGAGTCTAGCCTCCCCCAGGAGAGGCCCCATGTGCACCTCGTCCAATAAAGGCCATGTGAACCCAGGACTGCATGTCTTCTCACAGATGAGCTGCAGGGAAACCCCTGCCTGTGTCCTGCCTGCCCCCACCCCACCCCTGGGCAGACTAAAGCCCAGTGGACCACCAGCACACAGACACCTACGTACGCGGGCCTCGGTCAGTCACAGAAACCGCTCTGCCACAGGGGACTCAGTGAGAAGCCAGCCTCAGTGGCCTGAGCCCCTGCCCTGGATAGATGGCCGACACTAGAGCTCCCCCTCATCTCGGGGGGGGGGGGGGCGTCCCCTTGGACATGGCCAGCCAGGCTGGCCCTCAGTCCGGGCTGCTGTGCTGAAGCCCGGGCAGCCGGGATTGTGAGAGCCACGCCCGAGGCTCTGCTGCCGGGGCCAGGGAGGAAGCAGGGGAGGGGGTGGTGACAGGGGTCATGCCCTGGAACCCACCAGCAGTGGGGGTGCATTCCACGGTGCTCGGGTTCTCTCCAGGCCTCTTCCCCGCCATGTTCTAGGGGATAGTCACCCCTGAGAGGGGTCACCAGACATATGCATTAACCATCCTAGAACCTCCCCATGTCCTTCCACACGTAGCTCCCCGCAGACCCCCAGCTACACCCCGACTCTGAATATGCATTTATCAGCCACATATTCAGAGTGCACCCCCGATAATCCATGAACACAGACAACCATTCACACGCACCTCCTGGTTCTCATATCTGAACACACGACCATTCACACAATGGAAACCTCCAGGTCACACAGAAATATGCATCACAACTCACATGCTCCCAGCATACTTTTTGGGTCACATATGAACATTCATCACCCTGCACACACAGCACACCTCTCAGATCACACATGAACACGCATCACCATTCACACAGAGTACATCTCCTGGATCATACATGAACGATCGTACTCAGATCATACATGAATATGCATCACCATTCACACATCAGTGCACTTCCCGGTCCATATACACGTATCACCATTCAAGTGGGCTGGAGTGATAGCACAGCAGGTAGGGCATTTGCCTTGCATGCAGCCGACCGGGTTCTATTCCTCCATCCCACTCAGAGAGCCCAGCAAGCTACCGAGAGTATCCTGCCGGCACAGCAGAGCCGGGCAAGCTCCCCATGGTGTATTTGGTATGCCAAACACAGTAACAACAAGTCTCACAATGGAGACGTTACTAGTGCCCTCTCAAGCAAATCGATGATTTGCTACAGTGCAGTGCTACACCATTCACGTGCACACACAGTGCACCTCCCTGATCATACATGAACATGAGCCACCCCTCAAGTGCATATGCAGTGCCCCTCAATTCATACATATGTTATGATCTACACCTGAGCACCTGCAGACTCATGCATGAACACGTTACCAACCACATACAAGTGCCTGCTGGGTCACAAGTGAGCATATCACTCACACACATACCATCTACACACAGAGACATGTTAGACCTGGCCTGTCAGCACACGAACATGCAATAAAGGCCCTTGGGCACCCCCAGGACAGCGGACTTGTGCAGAGACCTGTGCCTGGGCAGAGCCGCGCAGCCTTGGTGTCCCACCTCCTCCTGCCTGAGAAGCTGCCCTGCTGCCAGGGTCAGCCCACCCCGGCAGGGAACCCCTCCACCCCTGCCGCCTGGCCACCGGCGTGCTTGTGTGAGTGGGCATGAGTCCACGCGGAGGTCCCGTTCCAGTTCCTGCCTCCTGGCCTGAGGGCCTCCTCAGCCTGGCGGGTGCTAGAAAGAGCAAAGGGGTGCGGGCCTCAACCACCACCAGCACCCCAGAGACTCTTCCATCCGACTGGAAGCCAGCACCAGGCTCGTGGGCCAGTGGCCACCCGCCAGAGGCTTCCTCCCAAGGGAGCTGCCCAGGAGGGAGTGTCAACAGCCCTGGGCCTCCCCAGCCCAGAGGCCACGTGGCCACAGGAATGGGGCAATAAAGGCAGCCTGACAGGCAGGACGTCATGGGGCAGCAGTCTCAGAGATGGAGACCCTCAATGCAACCTGCTGTTAAAAGAAATTCACACACACACACAGTCACACGAATGGAACTTCACTGGCCCCAGACCTCAACACCCGGTTTATTAGGGCTCGACTCAGAACAGCCCGAGCCTCCCCCAGCCAGTCCATCATAAGAGGGGGAGTCCCGGGTGGTCCCTTTCCTTCTCCGCAGCACGCACGGCCCGCGACTCGCCCTCCGACCTCGTGCCCCAGTGCGCGCTGCGGCCAGGCACGCCCGGGGCCCCCTCCACGCCCCCCGCGCCCCCGGGCCGGGTCAGAGGGCCACGGCGGGGAGCGTGACCACCTCGGACGAGATGCTGAGGTCGGCGAAGTCGCTCTGCGCCCGCCACCGGGCCCGGAGCTCCCGCTCCCAGCTGCCCAGCGCGCCGCCCAGCGCGGGCACCAGGCGCTCGGGGACGCTGAAGGAGCAGAGCAGGAGCTCGAGCCCCGCCGGCGGCCAGCGGAGCCGCGCCGAGAACACGCGCAGCGGCACCAGCGCCAGGCAGCCGGGCTCGGCCTCGGCCGGGCCCTGGCCCGGGCGGAAGGTGTAGGCCGCGGGGTAGCCCAGCAGGACGCCGAAGAGCGCGCACAGGCTCCAGTCGGCCGGGCGCAGGCGGCTGCCGCTCACGCCGGGGCGCAGCCCGCGCAGGTGCGCGCCCAGCTCGGCCAGCAGCGCGCGCAGGTCCGGCCGCTGGTCCAGCGAGCAGAGCGCGGCGTGCGGCTGCGCCCCCGACACGTCCACGAAGGCCACGCCGCCGGCCCGCACCAGCTCCAGGTGCTGCCGCGCGCGCTCGGGGCTGAGCACCAGGCGGTGCTCGCCGAGGTCCAGGACGTGCAGCCGCTGCGTGGGCAGCCCCAGGCCGCGCAGCGCCTCCAGGTAGCCCCGCAGCTCGGCCTCGCCCGCGCCGCCGCCGTCGTACAGCAGCGCCGGCTTCAGCCCGCGGGCCACGGCCAGCACCTCCGCGGCCAGGTGCAGGCAGGCGGCGCGCGGCGGCCCCCGGCCCCGCCGGCGGCCCGGGCCCAGGCTCCGCCGCGCCGCCGCCACCAGCTCCGGGGCGCTGGGCGCGCGCGCGGGGGCGCCGGGCACGCGGTCCCCGGCCTCGCGGCCCGCGGCCTCCTCCATCGGCGGCGCCTCCCGGCGGGCCGGGGAGCGGCGCGGGCGGCTGAGCGCGCACCCTCGGCCCCGCGCCCCCGGCCCCGGCCGGCCCCGCCCGGCCCGCCGCGCCCGCCGCGCCCGCCGCACCGCCGGCTCAGGAGTTCCGCCGGCCCCGAGCGCGAGCGCGCGCGCGGGCGAGGCTCCCGGGCCGAGACGCCGGAAGTGTGAGCGCCCCGCCGCCCGCCCCGCCCCTTCCGGCCTAGCGCAGGAACCGGGAGAGCCGGGCGGGCGCGAGGAGGCGAACCCTGGGAGCGGAACCGCGCGCGCGGCGCGGGGATTGGCGGAGATGGCCGGGGGAGGCGGGCCCTGGGAGCGGGACTGCGCTGGGGAAGCGAGGACTGGCGGAGATAGGAGGGGGCGGGCCCTGGGAGCGGGACCGCGCGGGGGAAGCGAGGATTGGCGGAGATAGGAGGGGGGCGGGCCCTGGGAGCGGGACCGCGCGGGGGAAGCGAGGATTGGCGGAGATAGGAGGGGGCGGGCCCTGGGAGCGGGACCGCGCGGGGAGCGCGGGGATTGGCGGAGATGGCCGGGGAAGGCGGGGCGGAGGGCGGGGCTGGAAGGGGCACGCGGGGGTCTGGTGGGGGCGCCGGGCCGGTGGCTCTGTGCGGAGCCGCACGCTGCGCGGGGCGTCGGGGCGGACGGAAGGCGGCCAGGCCGGCGGAGGCTTGCGTGGGGTCGGCACGTGCCGGTTGCGAACCCTCCCCCCTCTCCGGGGCACCTGGCCGTCCCCCGGATTGCAGGGGCGCGTCGGGCGGACGGTCCCCGCCCCGAGGCTGGTGCGCCCACCCCGCCGCACGCACGGGCCGTTAGCGGGAAGAGTCGCTGCGCCTGCCCGGCGGGGTCGTCCCACCACTCACACCTCTGTACGCCCGCCAGGGTGGCCCCTGACGGCGGGAGGATCTGAAGCCGGTCAGCCCCCTGGGGCGGCCCTGAGCGCGGCGTGGGCAGGGCCCGCCCTACCCGGCCGTTTCGGTCCAGCCTGCCGCCTCTGGCCGCCCACTGGCCCCAGCACCTGGAAAGCGGCGCGGCCGCCTGGGAGGGCCCCATGCCGGCCTGCACCCAGAACCTACCCCCCTTGGGGTCACTTGCCGCCTTGGACCCATCTCGGCCCAGCCCAGGAGCAAGCCCGCCGCCAGTCGCTGCTCGGAGCTCAGCCGGTGTCAGGGCCCCGGCAGGCACCACCAGCTCCGGCCCTGCTGCACGGCCAGCTCCCACACTCATCCCTGCGAGGGATGCTGGGCTGGTCAGTGGGCGCTCCACGAGGACCGAACTCTTCCTCGGCCACGCTGGAGACACGCCCCCTCCTCCCAAGGCCTCCTGGGCTTGCGCCACCCACAGCCACTGCTGCGGGGGCAGCCGGGGAAGGGGCTGCCGCTCCGCTTCCAAGCCAGGCGAGGCCACAGCAGAGGGACCTGCGAGGGTCGAGGCTCGCCTAGCGCCACCTCATCCGAAAACTCTGAAAGGCCAGAGGCTCCGGGATGACGCAAGGGGAAAGCGTGCTGGCAGTGGCCGGCACCTCCGCCAGGCTGGGGCCCTCCTGCAGGAGCCCACACCGGCACGAGCGCAGAAGACCCACTCCTGATGGGCCTCGGGGAGAGGGAGCCCCATCCTCCAGGGGCCTCCCTGCTCCTCTTCAGCGCCGACACCAGGGCCTGCACGGTCCCTCCCCCTCCGCAGAGTGCAGGCACGGGCACGCCTCTCAGACTTTGGCACCTCTTTCTATTTAGATACCAAGCCTGTTGCTAAGCGACCAGTCTCCCCGCCTGCTCACTTCCTGGGAGGGGTCACTCGCTGTACTCGCAGAACAGGTCAAACTGAGGAGCAAGGGGGAAGAGGACCCAAGAATGATGCCAGCATGTTCCGGAAGCCGCGGGAGGGGGCGGGGGGTGCAAACTGGACCCAGGTGCTCCACCGGGTTACTCAGATTGGTCCAAGGTCACAGGCAACTGGCAGCAAAGGTGCCACAGGAACCTGGTCCCGACTACCCAGCCAGCCCCTTAACTGCCACCTCATGCCATTGCACCCAGAGAGAAGAAAGGAGTCTGAAGGGTGACTTTTCCATCAATTAAGTCAACTTTCAAGCCTTGGCAGAGTTGGAGGATCAAGAAAGACCAACACATTAGGGGAGCCAAGCGGGTTCAATCTGCATAAAAAACAAACCACCAGTATGTACAATCTCATCTATAAAAATAGCAAGAGGCCGGCCTGCCTGGCTGGGGGCAGCTGCATGCCGGACAGTTGGGGCAGCACTGTGCAGGGACAGGGGGCACTGAGGCCTGGCTACTGGGCGGGCAGTGCGGGGGGCAGCTGCATGTTGGGGGCGGCTGGCACGGGCTGCCAGCCGTCCTGGGTCTGCAGGATTCGGTACAGCTGCTTCAGCTGCGCGACAATGTTGTCTTTGATGTCAGGTGTGGAGATCTGCAGACGCACGCTGCCGCTGTCGAAGGAGCGGGTGAAGTCGCCAGAAAACATCTCGTAGATCATGCGGGCCACCACGGGGATGACCTGTGGGACAGCGCGGGGGTGAGACAGGGAAGGGTGAGACGAGGCTGGAGACAAGGACAGCGCAGGGCGCTGGGACAGGGCTGAGCAGAGCCCGGGCCGGGAAAGGTGGCTCCGCACAAGCGGATGCACTTCATTTAGCACAACTCTGACCCTGGAGGTGGGGACATGGGCTCTGGGACTCCCGCACCTACCTGGACCAGAATGAGCTTCCTCTCTGGGGGCTTCCCATCTGGCCATTCCTCCCCAAAGCACAGGTGAATCTCAAACGGCGGCTGCTTCTCGATCTGCCCCTTCTGGTGGGCGATGAGCTCTGGGGAGTGAGAGCCTGCCTGTGAGCACTAGGAGCAGAGGCTGCACACACCCAGCCAGGACATGGTCGCCGGCGACCCACACTCACAGCAGCCACCACCACCACCAAACCTGCACCCGCCCATCAGCCTGTCCCGGGCGGGGGTGGGGGGCTGTGACACTGCTGGTTGAGACCCCACCGCAGATCCACCCTGCCTCTTAGACATACCCAGTTGACTGAGGCTTGGCCTTCTGTCCAAGGGGCTGCCGCCCCGCCCCCCGAATCCGAAGGCCGCCCAGAACCCGCCCCGGCATCCGAGGAGACCCACCGCTGAGGAACGTCTCCAGGCAGAAGAGTTTGACCTTCTTCTGCCTCTCGATGAGGTTGGGCACAGCGGGCGAAGGGGCACAGGGCCCAGACCAGTACACCTTGCACTGGCACAGACGCACAGCGTAGATGGCGTGGCCGCTGACCTCCAGGATCAGGCCCCGGTCCATGACATCCAGCAGTTTGCTGGTGAACAGCTTCTGCTTCTCGTTGCTGATGTGCTCCGGGCCGGGGAAGCGGACCTGCTCCAGGCTCACGGGCCCAAAGAGTTCCTCCTGGTCAGGCATGGGGCCCAGGTCCCCGTAGAAAAGGCGGCAGCCCTGCGGGTTGCTCACCGTCATGGTCTGCCCATACTCCTTCCCACGGTACTGGAACTTGATGTCCAGGTCGGTCACTGCGGGGAGAGCTCAGTGAGCACCAGCCAGGGCCAGCACCGGGCCCTGCCACCGCCCTGCAGGCTCTGGGACCGGGGGCATCCACAAGGTCACCTGCAGGTGCCACACCCTGGATACAGCCCCTCAGGAACCGGGGCCAGAACCCGTGGCTCCCGGCTTAGGAGTAAGAGCCAAAGCCGGCCCCCTCCTGCCCCCCAAAAGGAACCTCTGCTGGCGGCAACTGTCCCATCTGACAAACGTCTCGGCCATGCGCCCACCGGGCCCCTCACACATCTGCCAGCCTCGCCTCGAGTCCTCCACACCTCGCGTGAAGGGAAGATGAGACCAACCCATGCCCAATCCAGAAAGTTCTCCCAGGGCCCCAAACCCTCAGACTCCCAAGCACTCCCTCAGACAAGTCATGGCCACTTCCTTCCCTGGCCCCCTGGCCTGGACCCCACCTGGCAGGCCAAACATGGACCCAGCTTCCTTCCCACTCCCGCCGCCACCAGTCAGAGATGCACCCAGCAGGCAGCTTCCGCCCCAGTGACTCATCGGCCAGGCCCGGGGACAAGAAGAGGCCCGAGGGGGCACGCACTGGGCAGGGAGCTGATCCACAGTTCCGGGGAGCTGTAGAAGGGCTGCATGGGGGCAGGCGGCACTTCCATCTCCAGGGGCTCCGACTTGGGCCACGCTGCTTCAGGACTGCAGTTGCCCACACTGGCTGGTGCCATGGGGGACCCTAGAAGACAGGAGGTGGGTGACCGGAGAGGCAGGGCACTGCACTCAGGCTCCAGGCGCCTGCGTGTGCCCACAGCTGGGGAGAGTCAGGTCCAGCCCAGGCTCATACGAGGCTCATACGAGGTGCCTTTTCCGAAGAGGGGCAGGCAGACGTGGGGCTTTCTGGGGGATTCCCGTGAGAAGGACGTGAATCAGGTGCCCCGAGACTGGGCCCTGGCGACTCAACCAGATGGACCTGCTGAGTCCACTGACTCAGTGAGTATGAGCAGACCAGCACTCAATCCGAGACAGCCATCCACGGTGATCAGAAAGATCCAGCCCCCCAGAGAAAGGATTATGAGCTTAAGGGGGAAGGAAGTCTCCTTCATACCACTGCGAACTTCAAACCATGGAAACCTCACTGTCTACTCAACCCATCCCCAAGGAAAGCAGCAAAGAAAGACCAGGGCTGGAGCAATGGCACGGTGGGAGGTTGTCTGTCTTGCCTGGCCAGGATTTGACCCCCAGTATCCCATACGGTTCCCAGCCAGGAGCAATCGCTGAGCATCAGTGAGCGTGACCCAAAAACAAAACAAAAAAAGAAATACGGAAAGTTGGAGACGGTCCCCTGGGCCAGCCTCTCTGGCTGGAGCTCCCCTCTGCCCATGCTCAGCACCGTAGGTGGGCCTCCAGCACACTCCCCCTGTGCTGGCGCTGCTCTGCCATCTCCCAGAGCTGCCCGCTGGGGGGCACAGCAGGCACAGACCATCCATGACATTCCCTCCAGTGAAGAAATGGCAAAAGGGCCCCCAGTTGGTGCTGCGCTGACCTGGGGCCAAGTGAGTAGCCCTGAGTGGGTCCAGTCTAGGACTGCTTAGAGGGTTCTTGCCTTGCACACACTGGCCCAGGTCCAATCTCCAGCACCCAGGAGGGTCCTCTGAGCCCCACCAGGAGTGACCACAGAGCCAGGAGTAGGCTCTGTGTTGGCTGTGGCTCAAAAACCAAACACAGAACACAGATTGCCGAGAGAGGGAGGGCTGGGCTCAGGCTGCAGGGCACAGGAGGGGTCTACTGACCAACCGGCCGGGGGCCAGGAGTGGGGTGGGCCTCCTCCTCAGCTGGCGGGGCGGGTGGGGAGTGGGGAAAGAAGCGGTGGGTGCAGAAGGAGCCCCCAGCCCCTGGCCTTGGACCCACGAAGGACAGGGGCGGCATTAGGTGGAGCCCAGGCCAGTACGCCCCAGGGGACCAAGTGTCCCAGACATGCCCCAGAGCAGGCTGTTCCCTGCACTGGGTGCCCAGGAGCTGCAGAGAACACCAGCAGACTTGACAGCAGGTGGCATGCTCCGCACCCGTTTGAGTGTCTGTGCCCACATGCCACCACGGATGGGCTTACGCTGCCCCCTGTGCCCTTCCCTACTCACCGCTGATGTTCAGGAAGTGGAAGGTGTCCTGGATGGGGACATGGTGCTGAGACTGGTCCAGCTCATCCTCCTCATCCTCGTCGTCCAGTTCGTTGTCCTTCTCGTCCCAAGGGGCAGACCCAGTGGAACCTGCCCCGCGTACCAACCCAGGTCACGACTGAGCCGGGCCCCCACCGCTCCCCGGAGAGCGCCCCTTCACACATGGACAGTACCTCCCCACAGGGCCCTCACTCCCTGGGTGTCGCGGCTGGCCCAGGTGGGAGGACTGGACACAGCTAATGGGCACTTGCCTGGGTCCCTCAGCTCTCCTTCCCCCCTTTCTGATTGTGTTTCATTGGAATTTTCCTCTCACTGCTGGCCAGGGTTCTAACCGGGGCTCCGGGCAAGTGCTAGACCAGAGCCATGTTCTCCTCATCCTCTGTCTTCCTCCTCCTCCCCTGCCCATGTCCTTCCTCCCTGGCCCCCCTCCTCCCTGCCATGCCCCCTCCTCTTGGTTCCCCCACCCCGTCCCCACTGATGTTCTGACTCTAGGTCCTCCCGGCCCCCAGTCTGCAGGACCCTCACCTGGGTTGACAATAGAGCCCTGGGGCTGAGGGATGTCACACACTTGGTAGATCTTCACAGGGTTCATGGGCACCTCCTTGGTGCCATCGTACATCAGGGTGAACTCGCGGCTCTTGTTGAGGGCACAGCGGAGCTGGGCCTTCCACTTGGCAGGGTCCGGCTCATCCACACCCTCCTGGTACTTGCCCGTCTCCACTGCCCAGGCCTGTGGGCAGAGCACTGGTGTATGCTGTGGCCACCCCGAGCACGCCCAGTCTCTGCCATGGGCATCACGCAGATGCAAGCATACCTCACACCAGACACATCGTCATAAACATAGATCATATGCACCACACACACCATCACATACCATCACACACACCACACACACCAAACACATCATCATAAACACATCACGCACCACCACACATACCACACACACACACCAGATACAATTGTCATAAACACAAATCACACATCATCACACACATCACACAAATACGTCACACCATCACATATCATCACATACACCATCATACACACCATCACACACCACACACACCACACACTACACGCATCACACACCATCACACTCCATCAGTCATACCAGACACATCATCATAAACACACATGATGCACCATCACACATACCACACACACATACCAGACACAACTGTCATAAACACAAATCACACATCATCACACACATCTCACACACATGTCACACCATCACATGCCATCACATGCCATCACATACACACCATCACACATCACACACTACACACACCACACACACATCACACTCCATCAGTCATACCAGACACATCATCATAAACACACATCACGCACCACCACACATACCACACACAACACACAGTTGTCATAAACACAAATCACACATTATCACACATATCACACATACACGTCTCACCATCACATACCATCACATACACCATCATACATACCATCACACACCACACACTACACGCACCACACACACCATCACACTCCATCAGTCACACCAGACACATCATCATAAACACAAGTCACAAATACCAGACACACCATCACACTCCATCAGTCACACCAGACACATCATCATAAACACACATACCACACACACATACCAGACACAACTGTCATAAACACAAATCACACATCATCACACACATCACACACATGTCACACCATCACATACCATCACATGCCATCACATACACACCATCACACATCACACACTACACACACCACACACACATCACACTCCATCAGTCATACCAGACACATCATCATAAACACACATCACGCACCACCACACATACCACACACAACACACAGTTGTCATAAACACAAATCACACATTATCACACATATCACACATACACGTCTCACCATCACATACCATCACATATACCATCATACACACCATCACACACCACACACTACATGCACCACACACACCATCACACTCCATCAGTCACACCAGACACATCATCATAAACACAAGTCACACATACCAGATACACCATCACATACCATCACACCAAACACATCATCATAAACAAATTACACATTATCACACACACCACACACACACACACACACACCATCACACACCACATATCATCACATATCTCTTCACAGATATACACCCCTTCCTGTGTGCTATATCAGCCTCCAGGCAGAGAAGGCAGCCACAGCACACACAGACCACACATACGGAGACCACACGTGTATGCTACACACATGCAGACCACACACAGACACAGACCACACGCTGACATGTACACATGCAGGCCTCTGAGAGGGAAGCGCACCTCAGTGTGGCCAGCATCACCCGTGGAACGGAGGCTCTGGCCTGAAAGTGGCCTGGCTACACCAAAATGTTCCTGACTCTGGGGCCTGACTCTGGGGTGGGTGAGGGTCAGGGGGTGCTGTATGTTTGTCAGGACTGAGCTGGGGGACAAAGGGCCTCTGGGAGCCCAGCGGCTGTCCTTCGGGCCCTTCAGCTAGTGCCAGAGGGTGGTATCGGCCCTGGGAACCGGAGTGTGGGGACCTTACCGCCCCCACCCCCATGCAGTTTCACCCAGGAGCCCACCCACACTGTGGACGAATCCCCAGACCATTCTGGGTCTGCACAGGTCACGGCGCAGCCAGCGAGCCGGCGTCCCGCACCTTAAAGATGGTGTTCTCCTCCTCCTGCTGCGGGCTGTGGCGCGTGGCGTGCTTCCACGGGATCTGGAAGCGCTTGGAGTCCCGGTGCAGCCAGATGAGGCCTGGGTACAGGCCACTGTCCACCTGGGCCACCAGCCAGGGTTTCAGGCGCACTCTGCGCGGGTGCAGTGCCATGGCCTGGGAGAGAGGAGAAACTGAGTCACAGACGCACTGGGCCAGGTGGGAGGGGAAAGGAGCTGGAAAGGATCTTTGATTCCTGCTCCAATGCCATTTCCACCCTGGCTCCAGCCAAACCAGTTATCAGGGAAGCAGATCGCATTTCTCCCAGTTAAATCTGAGCAGAAAAATAGAAAGATGATGTCACCAAGCTGGAACATGCTTCCCCCTAAAGCAGGCGGGGGGGGGGGGGGCTAGGGAGGGGAGGAGGGCTGGAAAGGTAAGGGGGGAGGAGGAGGAGGGAGAGAAGGAGAAAGGGAGGGAGAAGAGGAAGGAGGGGAGAGGAAGGGGAGGAGGGGAGAGAGGAGGAGAGAGAAGGGAGGGGGAGAAGGGAGGAGGAGGGAGAAGAGAGAGGAGGGGAGTGAAGGGAGGCAAGAGGCAGGAAGGGGGGCAGAAGGAGGGTCGCTGTTTGCCCTCCAGCCCCCAGAGAGGCTGGTGCTTGCAGGCTGCTGGTGCTGTCTGCAGGGGAACCAGGGCTGGAGATGGGGCGCGGGCAAGGGCCTCGCTTGCAGACCAGAAGGCAGCTTGGCGCTGGCCCCAGGGCCCTTCTTCCTCTCTGCCGCCCACAGCCCTACACCAGGTGATGGGCACACGGGGACCATCTAGGGCCCACGCCCCTTTCCTGCAGCTGGAACCCTGGGCGAGGCCCCTTCCCATGGTCCCAGAAGGGAAACTGGGCCCATAGGCTGGCGGGGGGAGGGACCGATCCCTGACATGGGTGAGAGAGTTGCCTCGGAATGACAAGCCCACAGCCTCCTTCAGAGGCCCTTGAGATCGGTGCAATGCTGGCCCCCATAGGAGAGCTCATTCGCCTGACTCCAGCCTGAGTACAGGGCTCTGCCCGGGCCAGCGTCACCTCAGCCCCAGGGACCCCTTTAGCTCCCAGAGACCCCCTCAGCCTCCAGAGACCCCCTCACTCCCCAGAGATCCCCTCAGCCCCTAGAGAGGCCCTCAGTCCCCAAGATCCCCTCAGCCCTTCAAGCCCCAGATGCCCACTCAAGTCTCAGAGACTCCCTCAGTCCCCATAGACAAACTTCATCCTTCAGAGACCCCCCTCAGCCCCCAGGCCCCCCGCCCAGAGCAGCTGAGTTGAGGCTACCCACAGCACCAGGCCTCCTGGGTCAGACTCCCCCTGGAGGGGTCCCCGCCTACAGCCCCGCTCCCCGAGTAGAGCCTGCTGGCGCCTGCACTGACCCAGATACCAGGTGTGCAACCGGAGCCTCCCCAGGGAGCACCCCGAGTCCCGGGGGCTCCGCCCTGGCCTGAGCCCTGTGGGGTCAGGTGGGCCTGGCCTACTGAGAAGCCGGCACACTCCGGGCAAGTCCCAGCCTGCGAACAGGGGGAGGGACTCGGGGTGCCACGGGGGTGGGGAGCCCCTGGGCCTGCAGAGCCCATGTTGGCCCTGGCGAACCCTGGGTTCCCAGGCAGGCCCACCACCTTCCTTTGGGTGGGGGAGGGGACTTGTAGCCTTTGGACGGCCTGGGACCTCTTCCCCCTTGGCAGTCCCCAGACCCCCGACTGCACTGGTGCTGAGGCTAGCTGGGCAGCAATGAAACCAACAGGTTCCTGCCCAGACCCCCCTGCGCCAAGGAGCTCCTTGTGGGACAGGGACTGGGGTGAGGACCCACATCCTTAGGGAAACATCCGTAAGAGGAAGGGCACCTCGGCTGACAATGCCTGGGGGCTCTGTGCCAGGAGGGTGGCGTATGCTCCCAGACCTGCAAGCCCACGGTCCCGCCACAGGCAGTGCTCCCACTGGAACTCCCACCTCCAGACCGAAACAGAAGGAAAGAGGCAGGTGTGGCCCGCCCCAGGCCCCATGGGCCCAGCACAACGCTGGGTGCTGGGGACCTCAGGCCCAGGAGCAGAGCTGGGTTCCAGCCCGCTTGGTTTGAAGGAACGGACTCCTAGGATTTGTGAGGAAAGGACTCTTAGGATTCGTGCCCTTGGAGGGAGGGAGCAGGTAAAGGGGCTGCCCGGGGAGGCCGAGCCCAGGCAGCTACAAAGGCACCTTTCAAATGGAGCACAACTAGCCTTTCTGCAGTGGCAGGCAGTGGAAGGACTGGAGTCTTTCTGTCTGCAGATGCGGGTGGATGTCTTTCCTGCAGCTGGGAAAACAGGCGGAGAGCAGTTCACACTCCCGGACCCAGTCCTGGCCCCTGGCCCCCACTGGGAATGTGGTGCCCAGAACCTGCAGGCCCTGCCAGGGCCTCCTTCCTTCCTCCAGGGAGAGGCGAAAGTCAAGATGGGACTGCGAGGATAGTCGGGCGCTGCGGGCACCCACCTCCTCGACCCCAAACCTGCAGAGCCACAGACCCTGCTTGGTGGGGGCTGCAACGTCCCTTCCGGGCCCAGGAGCGGATCGAGGGCTTGGCCCTGGCGCCCGCCCGGGATGGGGTGGGAGACGGGGCTGGCCCCTAGTGGCCTCTGAGCGCCCCTCCCTGGCCTTTCCTCCCTTCCGGCGGGCCCCGCCCATAGCTCCAACCCTCACCCCCACATCCTTCTCCCAGGGCAGCCCCTCCCCCGGCCCGCTGCCCTCCTCGGCTCCTGGAGGAGTCGGGGTGACCCCTTGGCCACGGGCAGCCTGCGGGGAGCCCGGTCCCCGCACGCTCCGGCCCCCAGGAAGAGGCCTCCCCCACCCCCCGCGCGCAGCCACGCCCAGGGCCACCGCCCCGCACCCAGCTCGACGCCCCGGGAAGCCCAGGTGTCTCCAGGGCGGGGCCCAGCCCGGGGGGAGGAATCGAACTCAGGTCGCGGGACCCGGCGCGCCCCGACTTCCAGACACTCACGAGGACCGCGGGCCGAGGGGTCGGCGGCGCCGGGACCCCTGAACGACGGCGTAGCGCCCAGCGGCCGCCGCCGCCGCCGCCGTCGGGGCGGCAGCGAGGACAGGGTCGGGCGGGCGCCCCCGGCAAAGGCACCTGCGCAGGGTCCCCAGCGAGGGTCCCCGCACTGCGGCCCGGGCCCTGCGTCCACGGCAGCCGGGGACCCACCTTTCCGCGCTCGGCTCCCTGGAGCGGCCGTCCTTCGGCACCACGTCCCGGCCGGCCGCCGCGGCCCCGCTCCGCCGCGCCCCGGCCCTACCTGCCGGCCCAGGTGCGCCGCTCACGTCACTCCGCCCGCAGGCCCCGCCCCGGCCCCGCCCCCGCGCGCGATTGGCTGGCGGCGGGCCCGGGCCCCAAGCCACGCCCCGAGCGCGGACGAGGGCGGGCCCGGCCCACCTGGGCCTCTGGGCGCTCCGGCCCCCAGGAAGAGGCCTGCCGGGCCGGCCGCACCCCCCCCCCCCCCCACGCTGCCCACTCCCGGGCACGGGCGCCCGGGCTCTCTCTCCGGAGGCCTCCTGCCCGGACCGGGAGGTGCTGGCCCCTCACCTTCCCCGGGGGACGTGAGGCCGCCGAGGTCCGGCGTTCGGTTCCGCTCCACCAGCTGACGCGACGTCTGCTGGAGGCGCTCAGCGGACCCGCCTCTTGCCGCCCACGCCGGGACCCTGGCTGTTGCCCGCACACAGGGGCCTGCTCACCTCGGCCCCTCCATCCCCGGCTGGTACAGCCCAGGAAAACTGGGAAGGCCCTTGGGACTGTGGTGCAAAGCCACTGGCAAGACCTCCGAAGAGCAGAGCTGAGGGGGACGTTGGGTTCCCGGGCTCGGACACCTGGCTTCCCCCAGCCCTGAGTCTCAGCTAAGACTTGGGCCCCCCAAGCCGGGAGTCTCAGCATGTGCTTGTCCAGGTGCATCCGCACAGAAGGATGGAGGTGTAGACCCTGCAGTGGGTCTGCCACGTGACATGTCCTTCTAAGAGTGACACAGGCTGCCGTGGCTCAGAGCACTGCCTTGCGAGTGTGCGGGCCAGGGCTGGGCCCCAGCACTGAGGCAGGCGGCTCAGCTGTCTGCCCTCCACACACACACCTGTGTGTACCCCTGGGGGCTGTGTGTGGTGAAGGGGGTGCCCTGCCAGCTGCGAAAGTCGTGGGGCACGAGCCAGCATCCTGGGGACCCCATTGCCTGCCCCCAGTGATCAGCCACGTGTACCCCAAGTTTGCAGCAATAGCATCAGCAGAGGGCACAGGGAGCTCCGGAAGGGGTTCTGGAACATTCTCCCGAGCCGAGAGCTCCCTGTGGGTAAAGGCTGCTTCCAAGTGCCCGTGCACTTAGGGGATGTGGCCACCAGAAGGCCACTGGACCACACATACTGCAGCTGTCCCCCCCCCCAGTGCCCTGCTCCCAGTGGCCCCTCAGCCAGACCCACAGATAGGCAGCACCTCCCAACCGGTGGGCTCAGCCTTGGCCATTGTAGCTGTGCAGAGGGTTGGCTGAGCAAGCGGGACCAGGGGACAGCCAAGAGGCACGTGGGCCAGCAGCTCCCCACCACTTCAATTTGCTGATGGGACGAACCAAGAAGGAGGGAATTATTGGCCTGTTCTGGAAGGTGCCTGTTTCCTTTCTTTTTTACTTATGTGTATTTATGATTTGTTGGGCTGGAGCGATAGCACAGCGGGTAGGGCATTTGCCTTGCGCACAGCCGATGGGGTTCGATTCCTCCACCCCTCTCGGAGAGCCCGGCCAGCTACCGAGAGTATCCCGTCTACACAGCAGAGCCTGGCAAGCTCCCCGTGGCGTATTCGATATGCCAAAAACATTCACAACAAGTCTCACAATTTGTTGTGAGACGTTACTGGTGCCCACTCAAGCAAGTCGATGAACAACGGGAGGACAGTATTTATGAATTGTTAACAACCCACATGAAAGAGCTCAGGGGCCAGGGGCTGGAGTGATAGTCCAATGGGGAGGGCGTTTGCCTTGCACGCGGCCAACCTCAGTTCGATTCCCAGCATCCCATATGGTCCCCTGAGCACTGCCAGGAGTAATTCCTGAGTGCAAAGCCAGGAGTAACCCCTAGTGCATCGCCGAGTGTGACCCAAAAAGGAAAATAAATTAAATTTAAAAAAAAAAAAGCTCAGGGACTGTCCCTCATGCTGGGCTTGGAGGATGGGTTCTTCCCCCTCACCCGGTGATGCTCAGGGGACAATGGGGTACCAGGAATCAAGTCCAGAACCTTCACTCAGTCCATCAAGTCAGTTCCTGGTCCTCAAATGAGACACTTTCTTCGTTCTTCTTCTAGGGGCCAAACCTAGCTGTGCGCGAGGCCCTGTGGACCCCATAAAGTGTTTGCCCCTCGGCACAGTCTTGGTGGTTGGTGTTTGGGGACCACCTGAGCCATGCCTAGGGGTGTAGTTCAGTAAGATGCATATTTTAGAATGAGAAATTGTAGCTAGGCCAGGCGCAGGGATGGGCAGGTGACTAAGGGCTCTGTGTCCCCGAGCGCTATGCAGCAGACAGGAGGTGGGGCTGGAGCAAGAGCACAGAGAGGTGCTCACCGCACAACCAGCACCCACATGGCCTGAGTGCAGAGTCAGAAGTAATCCCTGAGTCCCGTGGGTGAGGCCCGAAATAACTGAAAGCAAAACAAGAAGAGAAGGCGTGTCCATGGCCGGGTCTGAGGGAGAGGTCAGGCCCAGGAAATCTTCTCTCCCCAAACAAGGTCCAGAAAGGGTGAGTGATTATCTGGAGGTCACACAGCAAAGGAGCCGCACAACACAGAGACTGGCTTCTGGCAGCAACCCATGAGACTCTGCTGCCCCTGTGCAGTGAGAAGATGTTTTCTTCTGTTTGGGGCCACACCTGGAGATGATCAGGCCTGACTCCTGGTTCTGAGCTCAGGGATCACTGGGGGCGGGGGGGCTTGAGACATGTGGGGTGCGGGGGACCAAACCTGGGTTGGCCCTATGCAAGGCCAGCACCTTGACCCCTGTACTCTCTCTGCCCCTGAGAGAGACTTTAAGTTGCCTTTGAAGGTCCCTGCGGCCCATGGCTCTGGAGACGCAGGGAGGCCCGCAGTTGGAGTTAGGACCCCGCAGTAGGGTCCAGGGTCCTGCAGCAGGGCTAGGGTCCCTCAGTAGGGGCTAGGGACCCACAAGCAGGGGCCAGGGTCCCACAGGCAGGGGCCAGGGTCCCGCAGCTTCCAGCAAGGGCCCTGGCAGCAGGCACACGTGTCCACTGGAGGTGCTACCTGTGTGGCTGGGGCCAGCGACGCCCTTGGGCTCCTGAGAAAGTCCCTCCTGAGTCCCCAGAGTCTCACAGGCCTGGAGGTGGGGTCTAGGGGTGGGGCCCCTCTGAGCTGCTCCCCACTCGTGCCCCACAGCCTCCCCGCACAGCAGAGACTGACTCAGCCTGACTGAGTTTCAGGGGTCTGAGTCATGGCCGTGGGAGCTTCCCTGGCTGAATAAGGGTCCGTCCCCCGGGGTGCCCCCACAGCGAACATGGCCACTCCCAGTCCCGTCCCACAGGGTGATCTCCCAGACGCCCCCACAGAGACCACCGCTCTCTCAGCCCTCCTCCCGACACCTCAGATCAGGCACGGCCGCCCCCAGCCCTGCCTTCGCCACCCAGTGCTAGGGCGTGAGCCAGGGCTGGGCTGAGGGGTTCGCTGCTTCTCCCTCTAGCTTTGGGCTGTGAGGGGCCTGAGGGTCTCGCCTGCTGCTTCCAGTCTGCCCCCTGCCCCGCCGGAGGAGCCATCCCCACTCCCGCCCAGGCATCGCAGGAGTCCGCATGGGGTCCGCATGTTCCACCCAGGCCAGGATCTGCCTTGGAGGTTCCCGGCTCATGGGAAAGGGCTTGGGTCTCATCCTTACCCCCCACCCCGAGTGCTGGCAGAGAATGCATCTTCTTTCTGCATTCCCAGTTCAGACCTACCCAGGCTCAAGGACAGGCAGGCAGGCAGGGTGCACCCAGCTGTTCCCTCCTGACCCATGTTGGGGTGCAGAATTGGACGACACGTGTGGGGTGCAGAAAGAGGGGAGCAGGAACCGGGCTTCTGCTGAAGAGGCTGCTGACAGATGGTGTCTGCAGGCCAACACAGCCCTGAGGACAAAGTCCAGGCAGACTCCTGCGGCCAGAGCAGGAGGGAGAGAAGGTCTGAGCAGCAAGTCACCAGCACCCGAGGACAGGGTGGGGGACGCTGGCGCCTGGTCAAGTCTGCAGGATTCCAGGGAGGACCCCTGCTGCCTTTCTGAAGCAGGAGAAGCTAGGCTGTCCCTGGCTGCCACCCCAGACACAGAGTCGGTCTCCACAGTCCCCATTGTGCCCGTTGTCCCCAGCCTGGGAGAATCCCCACCGCCCCACCATCCCCAGTCTGTGACTCAGTTTCCCCATGGCACCACCTATGCTCTGGGGAAAGCAGCAGTTTGGAGGGCCAGGACCCTCACTTCCTTCTCTCCATCTGGGCTCCAGCAGGAAGGAGAGGTGTTAGGGGCCACAGCAGAGACCCCTCTTCTTCCTCCTCCCTCCCCCCCAACTCAGACAGTAGGTCTGTTCATCAATCGATGAACAGCAGCAAACTCCTGTGCTCTCTGCTCTGGGCTGGGCAGGTGACATTTGAGTCACAGGTGCTGAGGGCTGAGTTTGCCACACTGACTCGAGTCCTGTAGGAAGAGAGGGGGAGGGAATTCGACCAGCTACTGGGATTCATACATTCACACTGGCAGTAGCTGCTGTCCTCAAGATTCACAGAGGAAGCGACCACACTAACTCTTCTGGGACCTTCCAGTCTGCAGGAAGAAGGGACAGTCGCAGCTGGGCAGTGGGAGCCCCATGTCCATCAGTCAGGCTTAAACACCTCCAGTTCCCAACAAGGGCACTGTGCCTGGGCATGGACCGTCTATGGGGAATTGTGCCCTGGGCCTGGCCAGGCCAAGCAGCCTCCAGCTTCCCTGGGCGCAGAGTGGGAGGCAGCTCTGGAATGTCTCTGCACCCACAGCTACAGGGCAGCCCCAGATCAGGACGCCTGCACCCCTCTGCCGGCCCCTGGCATGGGGCCGTGGAGCAGGGCCTGGGAACCTCACTCTGCAGCAGGTCGAGTTTCGCTCTGGCTCAGCCCTGCATGCAGGCACTAGCTTGTTCCCGCCAGCCTGCCAGGAGCCAGCTGCACGGATGGTCAGGCCCAGGCCCGTCCTGTCCCGGCTGCCCGGATTCCAGCACCTCCACCAAGAGCTGGCTGGGCCCGACTGTTCTTGCCGTCTCCAGCTGTGTCT